TAATAATAAAGAAACTGCCTCGGCCCTCATAGGACAGAAAATTAGGTAGGCGGAGTAGACAGAGGAGAATGCTGGGAAAAAGAAGCTGAGTGAGTCGCCATGATTCTCCCGCTCCAGACAGATGCAGGTTAAGATCCTCCCTGGTAAGCCAGCTCGTGGGCTACACAGAATATTAGAAATGGGTTAGAACAATATGTAAGAGCTAGCCAATAAGAAACTGGAACTAGCCGGGCCAGGCAGTGTTTGAAAGAATACAGTTTCCGTGTAATTATTTCGGGCATAAGCTAGCCATGCGGGCGGCCGGGTGCCGGGGACGCAGCCCTGCCACCGCTCCTATTTCAACACCTGTTCTCTTTGGATGGATACCTTGTTCAGCCTAGATATAGTGGGGAGGGCCTTGGACCTTCCTTTCCCCGGGGCGGTGTGCCTTACCTTCTCTGGGGAATGGATGGGAGGTGCGGTGGAAAGGTAGGTAGAAGGAATGGGAGGAGGAAGGGAGTGGGAACTTAGATGGGTATGTATGATGAAATAAAGATAGTTTGTTTTCTTTTAATAGATAGATAGATAGGAAGATAGGAAGATAGATAGATAGATAGATAGATAGATAGATAGATAGATAGATAGATAGATAGATAGATAGAGATGGACTGTCCAGCAGAACAGGACACGCTGAGGTAACAGGCACAAGTACCAACCCTGGGTCTATGAGATTGTCGATTCTGTCTCTGGGTAACAGCTTCCCTCTTGACGTGTGCCGGGCCCGGGCTTTCTCGCTGCCTCCTGCAATAGAATCAAGATTAGATTAGAGCAGCTAGTCATGAACTAGACTTCTTTCTTACTTAATGCACTCACATACAGCGCTCCACTCCAAACATGGTGCTTTAGAAAAGGTTCAGTGGGCCAGGAGGTGGCGCACTCCTTATATCCCAGCGTTTGAGAGGTGGAAGCAGTTGGACCTCTGAGTTTGAGGCCAGCCTGGTCTACAGAGTGAGCCAAATAAATGTATAATTAATAAAAAGAAAAATAAAAAAGCTTCAGTGTACCCTGTGAAAAAGTTCTATTTTTTTTAAAAAACACTTGATATAGCAGATGTCAGTTTTCTGCAGTAAATAATTGAGGGGTTTTTTTAATGGCATATGCATAAATACACACACACGCACGCACACACGTGTCTAAAAGCCAGGCACAGTAGCATGACCTCTAATCCTAGCACCATCGGGCCGACACATCTCGGAGTTCACTGGCAAGGGAGCCTATCTGAACTGATGAACTCCAGGTCCGGGGGGGATCCCTGTCTCAAAACTAAGGTGGAGAGTGACAGAGATAGAGACGACGCTAACCTCTGGCCTCCACACACAAATATGAATGTGCTCCCCCCTACACACACAGACACCACATGTACAAGTGATACACACATACACACACTAATCTATCCCTCCTCCTAGACTATATAATCATACATGTTCTGGATTCACCAATAGTTGTCTAAAGAGATGGCATGCTGTTTTCACTAAAATTCCCACATTACAATAGCATCTCATTGTCCCACATGTACTGGACACTATCACATGTACATGCACCGCCCTGCACATGGGAACAGCCCTACTCTGCATCTGTACCAGGTCAAAGTCTAGCTTTGGAAATCCATGCTTGGCACGTGCAAACTTGCCGAAAGGTGCCATTAGGTCTGCACACGAGAAAGTCGAAATCCTTCCATAGTGATTAGCAGGTCCCCTTTGGTAATATGTTGACAGAAGAGATGGTCTTCTGTGGTTTGCAACGTTACCCAAATCTTGACAAAAATCACACTAACCAAGAGCAGGTCAGCTACTCCAGTCAGGCTTCTTGAATACCCAAGCCTTACCACCCAACCTGCTAACACTCGGGGACTCGAGTGTTCCTCCACCATGGCTCTGAGTAAGCCACAGCAGGAGTGGAGGAAGCATCAAGCTACCAGAAAATGCTTTTGACTGTTGCCCACAAATGTATCCTAACACAGCCTCTGCCTAATAAAATAGTAAACTATTTAAGAGCGCCATTTCTTTGTTGATGAAGATAAAATTATGTTCATACCCATTTAAACAAGCTTCTAATATTGCACTATTTTTCAAGTCAGGGATCTTGGCTGCAAGAGGAATACTTTTTTCTTAAGAGGCACACAGGAAATTCTTAAGAGTAAACCTACTTTTAGGCTACCAAGAAAACTATATCATAAACTATTTCTTCTTTCAAAATGAGTTAGTCGCAAGACAGTATGGTTAAAATTGTCTTTTCTCTCCTCCTGACTACTGGTCAAGTTCCTAACGAGGTGTGTTTAGGGGTGGAGAAAATGGATGGAGGCATTACAAACAGCAGAAGTTCTAGAGGGTGCTACCATCATCTAGAGGATGCTGCCTTGATTCTGGTGCTGGTACATGGGTCAAAATGCGTGCAGCAACATACTTTAGTGCAGGTTCTTGTACACTAACTTACTTCAGTATCTAAAAACAAAATGTGATTTTTAAATAGAGTAAGACTGGGGCAAAGAGCTTTGGAGAGTAGGTGACCTAAGTGTTCATTAAGGGGCCAGCAGTTGAAGAGCTGCAGGTGGGAGGAGGGTGACAGAGCAGGAGATGGAAAGGGTACTTCAGACAGTCCAGTTGATTGATAGTAGACGGATAATGGATTACCCCCGCGGTGCTTTCATAATAGCCAGAACCAAGTATTTTGATTAACACACATTAATCGTAGGGCTGCGAGTGTTTTGATAAACTTAGAAGTGCTTTGTTTTTATCCTGGAGGTATCTTTATGGAGTAAACATCTACAGACGGCTTTGGTGGTTGGGGGCTTTTGTTTCTGTTGTTTTGTTTTTTAAGGCATTTAAAAATGGAAGACAAACTCCATTCACGGTGATGAACAATGAGTGCCCCCACGGTTGAAGAACCAGCAGTGAGACATGAGACATCAATGCTTGCAGGAATGGACAGTGAGCAGATCCTGACTGGCCCCCCGCATACAGCCTTTGGAAGATGCTGGAATTCTGGTTTCCTGGTTTCAGGGATGCTAACGTGTGAACATTTGCGAATTGTAGAACCAATGTGATTTAATGAATTGCACACAAGGAGAGCTTCATAAATGACTACTCACCCGTGAAACCAGAGTACCACTGCTCTAATAGCCTGAGTCAAACTCCAGAGAAATGTCCAAACTAACTTGCACAAAAGCCCCAAATGGCACAAAAACACAAACACATTTTGCTACTAACGTAATAGAGGAGTCATCCAAAGGTGTGTTAAAAATGTATATTTAGAGGGATTATTTATGTGTGATTTTTTTCTTGATACTTTTTCATTTTCCAAAAGTATATTTTAATATGGTTTAATAATTAACATACATTCATACATGTTGATAATAACATCCACTTATCTTCATGGTAGAACAATTCTAGGCAAAACTGTGAAGGCTGAAGTCATCCTCTCTCCCATCCCTTTCCCCTGCAGGCCTGCTTAGTAGAGCAGCCCTTCCCTGCAACTCACCAGAGTGCACGGCTCCCAGCAGGCCCACACTGCAGGACCTTGGAAACCTCTTGCTTCGAAACCATCTGTCCTCAGGGCCCAGAAAACCCTCAACTGATCAAACCAAACTGATGATCAGCGTAACCGAGGAGTTACCTCTTCCAATAAAACAGGCTTTTATTTTGGCAAGTGTGTGGGTTCTTCTTCTAGAGACAGTGTACTTATCTATGTATTTGTTTATTCTTTGGGGGGTAGAGAGGTGGATATGCTGGGAACTGAACTCAGCACTATGCTAAGGCATGTACAGCACTACTGAGCCACAGCCCTGCATCTTCCAAAGTGCTCTTGACATTGTGGCATGACACTATCATCTACAGAGTTATTCACTATATGTAAACTGAGTCACCAACACCTCCCTCACGTTTTAAGTAAGTTTATAATTTTGTGATGGGCTACACTTGTGGCTGTCCTGGTTCATAGAAGGCTGAAGTTGGCTCATTTCCGTAGCATCTCAAGAGTGTGAATTACAGCTATCTTTGTGAAAAGAATTTTACTCATTTTGACTACACTGCTACAGTAAAAAGACAAAGATCAATACACTTAAATACCTCTATTTTATTTGCTTCTATTGTCAGTTCCCTTTTGCCAATTCTGTATAATCTATTAATAGAAGAATTAAATGATTTAAAGGGAGCAGGATGTAGTGGAGTTAGCGGAGCGCTGGCTCCATCCCCCGCCACACATCAACTGGGCACGATGGTGCGCCTGTAACCTCAGCACTTTGGAGGTGGAAGCAGGGAGGATCAGGAGTCCAGGGTCATCGTCCAAGTGCAATCTGGCTATAAGATGCCTAATCTCAGAAATAAACAAACAATATAACCAAAGTGCTTAGCAATAAAATTAACCTCTGGCACACTTCTCCAAACTTTCTCCAGGACCAACATTGAGGTCCTTTCTTCCCTAACAGTACCTTTAGGTGGTCTCTCTGTTCACATGCCACACCTTGAATAAACTCCTTAAAGAAAACAAATACAGGGCTGGAGAGATGGCTCAACGGTTAAGAGCATTGCCTGCTCTTCCAAAAGGTCCTGAGTTCAATTCCCAGCAACCACATGGTGGCTCACAACCATCTGTAATAAGGTCTGTTGCCCTCTTCTGGCCTGCAGGCATGCAGGCATACATGCAGACAGAATATTGTATAGATAATAAATAAATATTTAAAAAAAGAAAACAAGTACATAGAATGTTTCTTATATTTCTACTTCTCTAATTACTCCAACAGAGGAAAGCTGACTTCTAAACGTGGCAATACCTAGGAATGCAATAATACTCTCTGAGCACAGGTAGGGTGAAGCAGACACTGGAGGGAACAGCTTGTCATGAGGACTAGAAAATTCACATTGCTCCTCATATAGTAGACCTGCAATAGACTGAGAATCTTACTTTGTAGCTGGGAGCAGTAGCACATGACTGTAATCTCAGTGTTTTGGAGATTGTGACAAGAGAATCGGGAGTTCAAGACCAGCCTGGGATACGTAGCAGGCTATTAGACAGACAGACAGACAGACAGACAGAGAGACACACAGACAGACAGACACGGGCCTTACCTAGTCTTATATACTGGGCTCGTTCATGAAGTTGACTCACTAGATCTTTCATCTGCTCATAGTTCTCCTGAAACAGAAGCACAGAGGGATGGAGACCGGAATGTTATAAAGTCCTTATCCTTTAGCCAAAGTCAGAGTCGAGAAACACAGCACGGGAGCTGGAGAGGTGGCGCAGATAGAGCCCCAATACTCTCGCAGAGGACTCAGGCTCGGTTCCCAGCACCCACAGGCAGCTCACAACCACCCGTAACTCCAGAAGAGCCAACACTATCTTCTGGAGTTGATAGATAGGCACCTACAAGCACAGGGCACATAAATTTATTCAAGCACACACCTATACACATAACAATAATGCATAAATATTTAAAAAAAACAATCAAAGGCTGAGAGTGTGGCAGAGGTGGAGAACTTCCTAGTACATGTGATGTAACTCCATACTGCAAAACAGGAAAGAAAAGGACCAACATATGCCAGCTCTGTGTGGCCTCCACACAGGGCCACCATCACCCCATCTATGTGGCCACTCTTGATTGATCGTGTAGAAAGATCAATTTCTGCCCACTTGTACAGCTCTGTTTTAGGCCCACCAGCCCCTCTGACTCACCCTCTCCTAGTCTGAGCCCCGTTTTAAGTCCTAATCACGCTATTTCATTTCAGCGCCAGTCTGGGCCACCCATACTCTCTTCTTTAAACATCTATTAAACTTAACTGGTAAAAACTTGCTGGTCCTTTCCCCCCTCTTTGTTCTTTTCAAAACAGTGTTTCCTCTGTGTAGCCCTGGCTGGCCTGAAACTCAGAGATCCACCTGCTTCTGCCCCCCAAGTGCAGAGATTAAAGGCGTGTGCCACCGCTGCCCAACCTTTTCCCCCTCCACTCTGGGGAGGAGTTACTTTCCCATTTAAGGATCTGGTTTTGTTGTTGTTGTTGTTTTGGACAGAGTCTCACATAACCCAGGCTGTCCTAAACTCATTCTGTAGCTGAGAATGACATTCAGTTTCAGACCTTCCAATCTCTACCACCCAAGTGCAAATATTACAGCTGTGCCCACCACACCGTGCTTTGATAACTGCTTTCGAAGGGTCAGAAGGGTCTTGTTGACCACCTGTCTTGTCCGTACCCTCATCAGTCACTATCCTGAGATTCTAACCAATGCAAAATAGTTGTTGATAAGGGGACTTAAAGTTCAATGGCAGGGGTGAGGAGGACGGTGGGCGGGGAGGGAGGAGAAACCAGGAAGAGGTAGGAGAAGCAGGAGGAAGGGATGCATTGTGGGGAAGCAAGAGAATCCATAGTTTAAGTCTTCCTCAGCTATGTTCAGTTTGAAGCCATCCTGAGCTACATGAGATCCTGTCTCAAAAAAAAATAAAAAATTAAATCGAAAAGTTCTAAAAAGTAACAATAAGAACAAAACTATATGCTTGTACAAGCTTAGATATCATCTGTATGGCTCAGATGAAAATATTAATCTTGAGAAGCAGGAAATGGTAAAGGGGACATTTACAAGCTTGGGGGGGGGGCACCAACCAGTTCCCAAATCATGACAGAGAGACTTATTACGAATGCTTGGCCTTATCTTAGCTCTTGTTATAACCTGTTTCTCTTTATCTATGCTTTACCTCAGGCCTTTTTACCTTGCCTTCATTCTGTATGGAATGGAAAATTCCTATTTCCTCTGTGTCTGGCTGACTGCTGCTTGGCTGCTGGCCCTGGGCTTGTCTCTCTCTTCATTCTTCTCTCCCGAGCCTAGATTCCTGCTCCTATTTATTCTGTCTGCCCACCAGCCCTGACTATCCCTCTACTGCCTACCTATTCCCATTCCACTCTTTATTAGACCAATCAGGTGCCTTAGACAGGCATGGTCCAATAGCAACACATCTTTTCATAATTAAACAGATGTAATATAAACAAAGGTAATACATCTTTGCCTAGTTAAAGTATATTCCACAACAGGACACCTTTCAGCCTCCTGAATTTTCATATTTTGTTCGCTCAGCATACTACTCTAGGACAATATTTACGCAGCTAGTTATTTTGCTCCTTAAGAGGTTTTGCTCCCCATGATGTGATGTCCATCTCTGGTCAGTTCTTCATAGTGCTAGAATGCCAGCTGGCTTCCCAGCTTTACAGCGGGTTTAAAAGAATACAGTTTGTGTATTGTTATTTCAGGGCATAAGCTAGCCAGGCGGCCGGGGTGCCGAGGACGCAGTCCCACACTCCTATTACAACAACACCGTCTATGACTCATTTTATATCTAAGGACATGATGTAGAAGTTAGAAGTGGAAAAGAAGGAAAAACTGTCTATGCAAAAGTAGCCAAAAAAAAAAAAACTCTAAAATGTCCTCACTCAAGAATCACAAGTAAATGAAGTCAATAAAGATATTTAAATTAAACTACTGTAACTTTGCCATTTAACAAAGCCTTCAATGGATGATGGGAAAAAGAAGTTATATTTGCTGTTCTGAGTGGCTGATAATTGCACACCGTAATGCAGATGGATCATACAAACCCACCAGCAAATACCATCTCTCTCATCCACCAAACCACTGAGCTCTCTCTCTAGCCCTGGCACTTGTTTTTGAAAGAGGGTCATGTATTACCTTGGCTGACCCCAGACCCCTACTCTTAAGAGGTGCTCCCATATGTGTGCAACACCATGCCTCGTTTACACTTTCATATCCTGAGTTTAATGTACCTATATCTAATACTTTGATAGAAAATCAAGCTGGAATTGACACACTGGATAGCCCCAGAAGTGTTGTACAGGTAACAGGGAGGAAAAAAAAAAATCAATGATCTTACTCAGTGCTTGGGCCCTGCACATTGCAAAACCAATTTCCTAAGCAAGATGTGCCCACTGGTGTAATAGCAGCATAACTGTTAGGAGATAACCAACCACTTTCTGGTTGTGTAACACGAAGGGGCCTGCTTATTGGAGTTTCCCAGTACCCCACAGCTGGCAAGCCCCAAAGAAAATCACACAAAGAACTCCATAAGTAAACTGATTGGCGCCAGGCAGTGGTGGCGCACGCCTTTAATCCCAGCACTTGGGAAGCAGAGGCAGGAGGATCTCTGTGAGTTCGAGGCCAGCCTGGTCTACAAAGGTAATTCCAGGACAGGCTCCAAAGCTACAGAGAAACCCTGTCTTGAAAAACCAAAAAAAAAAAAAAAAAACTGATTGGCCCATTAGCTCAGCCTACTTATTAGCTCTTGTAAATTATATTAACCCATTGTTCTTATCTATGCTAGCCATGTGGCTCAGTACCTTTTTCAGCCAGCAGGTTACATCTTGCTTCTTGGTGGTATGGGCAGGAGTGGGAGTAATGGGCTTCCTCCTTCCCAGCATTCTCCTGTTCTCATCGCCCTACCTCTATTTCCTGTCTGGTTGACCCACCTATATTTCCTGCCTGGCCAATCAGTGTTTATTTAAAACATGATTGACAGAATAATTCTCCCACATCAGGTTGGAGTTTGATGTCTATTCCACAAAATGGAATTCATGTCTGGCATTGTGTAAGGTGTGCTGCCTTCTGGATCCAACCCAGCTATTGTGCTCAGGAGCTCACTGCAGTTGCGGCTACCCAAACAAGACCCTCACCAGGTCAAGCCAATGATATCCCTCAGCAATAGGTCTCAGTGAGTTTTTAAGAGGGACGGTAACTAAAAGGACAGGAATATGGGAGGGTAGGACATGTTGGGAAGTGTCTAAGGAAACTGGGAGGTGAAGCTGGGAATAGATAACATTAAGAAACACCAGCAGGGCATGGAATCCCAGAGGTGGGTGATCATCAAGTTCCAGCTTCATCTACCAAGTCAGTTCCAAAGAAAAACTTTGTTTCAAAGATATAAACAAACAAACAAAAATATACATTGTATTTGTATATGAAATTGTCAAAAATAAATAAGAGTCCTAAAAATAGTAAAATAACTGTATTCAAGAAAATTATGGGAGCTGAGCAGTGGTGGTGCACACTTTTAATTCCAGCATTTGGGAGGCAGAGGCAGGCGGATCTCTGAATTCGAGGCCAGCCTGGTCTACAGAGTGAGTTCCAGGATAGCCAGGGCTACACAGAGAAACCCTGCCTTATAAAAAAAAAAAAAAAAAAAAAGAAGGAAGGAAGGAAGGAGGGAAGGAGGGAGGGAGGGAAAGAAGGAAGGGAGGAAGGGAGAAAGGAAGGAAGGGAGGAAGGAAGGAAGGAAGGAAGGAAGGAAGGAAGGAAGGAAGGAAGGAAGGAAATAGTTGGAACCAACATGTTAGGTAAAACAACTAGAGTCGGGAAAACAAATGCCACATTGTCTCTCACATGCAGAATTAGATTATATATATGACATGACATATATGCGTGTGTATATACACATACACACATACACATCATGACATGAAAGAAGACTATCTGAAAGAGGAAAAGGACCAGCAGAAGAGTGGAGAGAAGACAAGACTGTAATGTATGTACATATCACTTTTTGTACAGCTAGTATATACTAACTTTATTATTTTATTCTGTGGTGGTGGTGGTGGTGGTGTCTTCTTTTGGGAGGGGGGAATCTCACTTTGTAACTCTGGCTGTCCTGGAACGGGCTTTGTGGATCCCAAAGGATGGGACTAAGGCTGGGGTCAGCACACCCAGCTAATACGTGTTAATTTTAAAGGGCAAAGGTATCCACATTCTTTTGGTTTTTAGTCTAGCCTTCATCTTTCAACTTGAACTGCCAGGCCTTTCCTAACCTAACTCCGTTTCACCCATAACTTCATGTGCGCTCAGCCTTTGCGGTGTTAGAAACCAGTTACCACACAGCCTCACAGCGATCTGACTTCTTGTTCACATCTCACAGCCCAAAACGAGTTCCATTCCTACACATCCATGCCAAATACTTAAAATACTGCACAAACAATTCGGTGTTTCTAAGTCAACTTCTTCCCAGACAAAAACTGCTGGTTCTGTGAAGAATTTAGATGTTATCTTTATAGGCTTAGAAGCCATGAAACAGACTGAAATTTTCCAGCTTTGATATTTCACAACTTACAAGTTGCTTCTTTGGTCTGAGAAAGCCTCCCAAGTCCAAGAAAGGCAATTTAAAGGTAGGCAGGATATGTATTTATTGTTAACATAATTATTTAACAAACGCGTGTGAACAAGGCCCAGCGAAAAGGTGGCTGCCACAAGACGCCTAAGGAATATGTTGGCCATGCAAACATGAGGACCCCACCTTCGAGATCCCCAAGTTGCCAAACTGGGCTCAAGCATCTGCAAGCTTCCCAAGAGGCAATGCTTAGAGGGGTTTTTAGAATCACTGATTTTAGTGACACAAAAGGCCAGTTCCAGTTCTAAAAGTGAACTAATATCTCACCGGGACGATTTTCTTCTGCAAACTTCCTAAGACCCCATTGCCTCCCAGAATGATGCCTTGAGCTGCAGAGGAAAGAAAAGCAGAGATCCAAGCGTGCCCACCCTCCGGCCGCTGGCGACTCTGGGCCAGCAGAGCAAGCAGGGCCACTTGGACGCTCTCTCAACCTACCTGGTAGGTGGAGGAGCCCGAGTCAGGCTGGGTGCCTAGTCGGGCCACCGAGTCCCCGTGATAGGCGCGCGACCGGGAGACAGCGGCCCGAACACAGGGCCGCAGAGCTAACCTCAGCGCGCCCCACATGGCGGCGGCGAGCACCTAGAGAGCGAGGAGAGCGAGGGCGGCCCGCGGAGAGACGCTTCGCCTGGCAGATGTGCAGCTCCGGGCAGCTGCTCTACCTGAGTCCTTGCACGGCAATCCTTGTCAACCAGCTCCCGGGCCAGCCCCTGCACACGTCCCATCGCAGACCACTTCCCATTGGTCGGGGCCGCGCGCCACGCCTCTCGATCCCGCCAATGAGGAGCAGAAGAACAGCTTCGCGAGGCCTGGTTCCATCGCGAGCCCAGGAACCCTCGGATGACTAGGGGGAGCCTCTGCAATCTGGACAGTGGCTGCACTGACAGCGTAGGGGAAGCGCTTTTGTCCTGGGTGTGCAGCCGCCCCTAGCTAGCCTATGCAGAGCACGTCTGATCACTCTTAGAACGTGATAGATTGTAGACACCAGTATTGGGATGTTCAGGAAGAGACCCTCAACACACCCATAAGGATTAAAAACACTAAACGAAGTCCCTTAACTTAGTTCCCCCCCACCACTCACATAGTTATCATTACACATGCTTCCTTAGAGGAGAAAGTAAAGCGTTTGGAACATCAGAAGAATGGACAAGCTAGAGAGAGGGTCGGCTATGGTCTGGGAGTGAATGTGGTTCCAGACTTTATGAGCGCTTTATGACAGAACTGCACAAATGACTACCACTTGAGTAAGAGCCGGATCAGGTAGGAGCACAACACAGCTGAAATGGAAACGGGGCAGGGCTGCTCTCTCTTTCTCTCCTTCGGGCCGGGGACTTCACTAATTGGCAGCTTTACGGAAGAAGCCTTGCCCGCAGAAAACTATGGTAGCTTACCAAATAAAGAGTCCCATCTTGCCAAATGGAATAGAATGAGAAACAGTCTCAGAGTAGGGGAAACAACCTGTCAGAGCTCCACGTTTTATTACCGTGCAGCAAACAGTACAAGCACCAGCATTGCTGCATCCTTTGCCGTAAATCTTTAGGAAGGTTTATGAGGTGGCTTATGCTATGCAGTTTAGTATCCTTTGAGGCAGTGCCTGTCTGTGCTGCTATAAAAGGCTGTCTGAAACTAGCCACTTGGGGGCATAGTGGCGCACACCTTTGACCCCAGCATTCCAGAGGCAGAGGCAGGCGGATCTCTGAGAGCTAGAAAGCCACCAAGGGCTATCTACTTAGTGTGACCCTGTCTCAAAAACATCACCACCACCAATAAAATAAAAGTTACCTGAAACTAGGTTATATATATATATATATCTGGAAGATATGATGTCCAAGACAAAGATCCCAGCAAGAATGGTGCCTTCAGAGAGCAGAGTCTCCTAAGATGTCTTGCTGCTGCATCATCTGGAGCCCAACAAAACGGAGGAGTGGAAAGGAAGAAAACGCCCTTCCTCAACTCTTATAAGGACATCTAAGTCCCATTCATGAGAGCAGAGTCCTCGTGATTCAGTCACCCTCTGAGAAACTAGGCTTATCAATAATCTAGCACCGGAAAGTTTCACTTGCTTAGTGGCATGAGTCTGAGGGCCTCAGCAACCTATCGAGTTGACACGGATAACTTCTGCGAGCCTAGAGATTTAGAGGCCAATCTGAGCAACAGACAAAATGTTGGAATGTGAACTTTGGAGAAGACACCATCATCATATGTAGTGTGATGTTTTACTCTTAAGACTTTTTTTTGGGGGGGGCACCACCCAGCTCCCATATAAATCACACATGAAGACTTATTCTTTGTTATGACTGTCCAGCCTTAGCTTGGCTCGTCTCTTGCCACCTTTTCTAAACTTAAATCTTTTGTCTGCCTTTTGCCTCTGGACTTTTTCCTTTTCTTCCTTCCATTTACCTTAGTTTCAGTCTTACTCCATGGATGACAGGGTGGCTGGCCCCTGATGTCCTCCTCTCCTTGTTCTCTTGCTCTCCTCTTCCTCGTTTCTCCTTCCATTTGTCCTCTCTGCCTGCCAGCCCCGTCTATCCTTGCTCCTGCCTAGCTCTTGGCCATTCAGCTCTTTATTAGACCATCAGGTGTTTTAGACAGGCAAAGAATCACAACTTCACAGAGTTAAACAAATGCAGCATAAACAAAAGTTACACCTTAGAATAATATTCTCCAACAATCATACAAATAGTGTTGGGTTGGGGGTGTAGCTAAGTGGTATGCTTGCCTAGGATGCAAAAGGTTCTGAGCTCCATAGACACACACACACACACACACACATGAGAAGAGAGAGAAGGGGGGAGATAAATATGTCTTCTATATTAAATGGTGCTTATTTTGAAGAAGTGACACTTTGTGCACATACATGCATGTGTGGTGTGATGTACGTGCATGTGTGTGCAGGTGCACACGTGGAAGCCAGAGAACGCCAGGTGTTCTCCCTGCCTTATTCCTTTGAGATCAAGTCTTTCACTGAACTTGGAGCTAGAGGTTTGCAGCTAAAAAGCCTGCGATCCTTCCATTCCTATACAGTCCTGGAATTAACACAGACATGCAGTAATTCCCAGCTTGTATGTGGGTGCTGAATCCAAACTTAGGTCCTTATACTTGTGCAGCAAAGTGCTCTTATGCCCTAAGCCCTCTATATCCCCAGAATTGACCCCAAACAAGGTCTTGCAATGCAGAAGAAAACCTAAAGAGTCACACAGCATACAAGCAACATAAAAGAAAACAAACCAGAGCAGTTGACCCAAATGAAGCATTTATTCCTATCCCTGAGGCCAAAGGAAAAATGTTCTATTAAGTCCAGCACTCAAGAAGCAAACGACAAGGATGAGAAGTTCAAAGTTAGCCCAGGCTAATTAATTGTGAGTTTGAAGCCAGCCTGGACTACACAAAACTGTCCAAAAAATTATTTTTTAATTTAAATAAGTATCAATTGCCCCTCCCACCCCTCATGAATTCCCACCCCATTCCACTCCTTATCAAATCCATCTTATTCTTTAAATATGTATGTGTGTGTGAATATATGAATGCAAACTGATGTGTGTTACATATATGTTGTAGGTAGGACTGAATATTTGGGATTGAACTACTAGGGTCTTAAGATTTACTTTAATTATGTGTATGCATCAGTGACTGTAACCAAGTATAAAAATGAATGCAGTTGTCCAGAGGCCAGAAAAGGGCCAGCGCTGCCCTCAAGCTAGTTACAGCAGGTGGTTGAATTTGCCAACAAGGGTGCTGGGAACCAAACTCAGGTTCTCTGTCTGCAATAGTGCTCAAGCACTCAGCAATTCCTTATTCTTGCTGTTCCCAGACACTGTTTCAGTTAGTCTGTCTGTCCTGATGGCAGTCCATTACTAAGGGAAATCAGCCGGACTCAAGGCAGGAACCGGAGCAGACAGTGGAGAAACACTGCTCCCCGGCTTGCTCGGCTCCCACTGCACATGACTCACAACAGTGGGCTGGATCCTCTTGCAGCAATCATCAACAGGAAAATGCCCCAGACTCATCTAGAGGCCGACTTTTGGGCAGTATTTTCTCAGCTGAAGTTCTCTCTTCCAAAACAATCACGGCTTGTGGCTGGGGGGAAAAAAATCAGCAAAGACAGGATCCTACTATGCATCCAGCCTGAATCCAAACCCCCACTCAGGTAGCACCACACACGTCTATGTAAGGTTTCATAAGTTGAATGATATAGTCAATGCCTACACCATCATAAGAAAAATAAAAATTTCTATTTCACTATATCTCTAAAAGTAAACAGACAGAGCAGTTTAGCTAGATACATATCTCTTTGACAGTGAGACAAAATCCACAGCTTTTATGTAACTAAAGAAATGGCCATGCTAACCAAGTTACTACAGATAATTCTCTCAGCAAAAACTTTTGGGCAACCAATACTTGCCAATAAACAATTCAAAATCCTTTTTGTTTGTTTTAAATTATCTCTGGGACCAAAGCTTCAATTTCTCTCTTACAAAGAAAACAAAGCATGTGTGCCAGAGAGGAGGAAGCAAAAGGTCTTGAGCTATGTAAAATTCATTAGAAAACAAATAAGAGTAAACAAAACTTTAAATATGCAGGCAAGCCCATCATTTATTCTTGCAAATTAAAAGAATCCTTCACAAGAAGTATCAAGAATTCTTCTAACTATGCTATGTACATTTTCTTTTCTTTCTTATTTTATTTTTTGAGAGAGCGAAGGGTTCACTTTGTCAAACTCACACTGTTCCTGCCCCTGCTAGTGGGTTATGGGATTACAGACTTGAGACACCACCATACCTGGCAGTATTATTTGTATAAAGTATAGATGATAACTGAAAACTGAAATTAGTTAACTGAGTATAAATATCTTTTGTTGTTTTGAAAAGGACAAAACGAAAATGATATAAAATAACTTTTTATTTACATAATTTTTATCAACAGAACATAACTGCTTTCTTTAGAACAAGAAAATTTACAAATGACAGATATTGTTTCTTTTATCAAAAACTCCTTCAAGCAAGGCAGTATACATGGTCACCTGCATTTAGAATAATACGGTGGTAAACAGTGGATGTTCATTTTTTTATCTATGCCTTAATCATTTATCAGCAATTAGACTTTTAAACCATGACTGGCCACCTGCTTAGATGTTAAGTGTTCAGGAGGAAAAAAGTCAGATTTATAACAAATTCCTGGAAGCATGTTTACACCACCAGGGATCTTTCCGCCTTAAAGCTAAGTACACTGATTGTGTTTCTCTTCCCAACATCTGTTTTGAGGCTGTAACAGCTGGACAATTTGTGACTGACTTGATTCTCTATACAACGAACACCCTTTTACTCTTTATACAATAAATTACATCTTCCATAAAATCAGTTTTACAGACGAACAAGAGACATATGTTAAAAAAATAAATATAATACAGGGATAAATAATAGTTTAGTTGCGGTGATCTAACCCAAGTAACATTAAAAAAAAAAAAAACCTTTACAGAACAGAAACTTTGAAATTTACAAACGGCATTGAAATAGCACTGTGAATTAACCCATGATTTTGTGACATTAATCACATGAGAATTTCCATCTAATTTATAGATCTTCCTTTATAATCAAGATGTTAAATCATACATTTTACCCTAAGACACAGAATGAGAAATATGCTCACGGTAGGTTTCAATGGATTAGCTTCACTCTAGACTCACTGAGCCCTACTAGCCTTTCCCGCTTAGGCTAGAAAGCCAAAGTGAAAACTTTCTTTTTCACTTAACTTGAAAAGTAGTCATCATTTTATCAATATATAAAGATGAAACTTAGCTAGATGTGAAAATACTTTTCCAATTGAAGTACTGATCATTTCATAATCCACTCAACACAGTTTTCTAAATCATAGGCACATTTTACAACGTCTATGACAAATAACTCCTAAGCAGAGACATCAGCACCTGCAGACAAGAAGCACTGAGTCCAGGACAGGACGCTCGGTTGGCAGAGCTCTTGTGGGAAGCCTTGGCTCTGCTCCAGCACAGCATTAAAATGCACATGGTGGTGCACTCCTGTAACCCAGCTCTGGGAGTGAAGACTGGAGGATCACACTGAAGAACACCATCATCTACAGAGTCCAGGGCTAGTCTGGGACACACAACCCTGTTTTAAGCGGGAGAGGGGCAGCACGGAGCAATAGCAGAAGACATGTTGCCTAAGTAAAAGCCCAGGCACGCTCCTGCTCCTGCTGAACCAGCAGGACCACACAGCTGCCACTAGGACCCCTTGGTCTACAGTTTCAAAAAATATTTTGTGGAAAAAACTTTCTAACTACTGAGTTAGTGTACTGAGCTATGAGATTTTTCTAATAAAAAAATCAATAAATTTGGTCTTTCAGATTAATTTGAAACAAGGAAAATCTGTTAAGAGAATTAAGACACTTATATAAATCACTACGTCTCAAAATTAAAAAAAAAAAAAACCTAAGTTCATAATGATGACAATCACGGCTTTGCAAAGTTTTCCTGTCGTATTTTCTGCTTTAGCAGAAGAATCATGTTCTGTGGTTAAAAAGCCTACACATCCTGTGAGCAGAATTTAGTAGGGGAAAAATCTATCACTGTTTTCTTCTTTTTTTTTTTTAAGGTGTGTGTGTGTGTATGTGTGTGTGTAGAAGATTGTTTTATACAACATGTCTCTTAACATTAAGTTTTTTTCTTCCAACAAAAATCCTGAGATAATAGAGGAAATAAGAAAAGCAAAAAAGAAAAATTCACAGTATAAATTCAATGTACCAAAGTATGAGAAAAGTATTCAAAATACAGACACCACCTAAACATTTTTAATTATGACATTTTAAAATAGCTTTAAAAGTAAAGAGGAGCCGGGCGGTGGTGGCGCACGCCTTTAATCCCAGCACTCGGGAGGCAGAGGCAGGCAGATCTCTGTGAGTTCGAGACCAGCCTGGGCTACAAGAGCTAGTTCCAGGACAGGCTCCAAAACCACAGAGAAACCCTGTCTCGAAAAAAAAAAAGTAAAGAGGAAAAGGAGACAAATTATTTGTTAATGCTTTCTTTGCCCACATCTGATAAGTGAAAATAATTAAATCGGGATATGCTTTTAAATAAAAAATTTAAAAATAAATAATCTCTTTGATGTTCAATCTTTATAAATAGCAAGTTTAAATACTAGATCTTCAATTAGAACTAATGTTACATCACCATGAATTAGAAAAATACACATTTTTCAGTCAAATAGCTAATAATAGAAAAGTTTTACCTTTACCATACCAAAGTGGAGTTTCACAACTTGCTTTCATATACTTATAGGCAAATAAACAGACCTTCATCACCCTCCAAAACAAAAAGAAAAAAACAAAAAAACAAAAAAAAACCACACACACACAGCAACAGAAACAAAACCACCTTTACAGAAGAATGTCACTAATGTTAAATACAATCAAGCTCCAAGTATGTCAGCACTATGATTTATACAGACGTGTATCCATGCAGTCCACAAGTCCAGCTGTGCTCAGCACAGGGTGAGTCAAATGTAAACAAGTTAAAGTGTCTGTCAGGGAGAGCAGTCTTAATTGCTTGGTATTTCAGAATGAAATGGTTTCCACTGATTATAAAAGCTTTAAATTAAGCTTAATAAATATTCAAAATTGACCTAAATAAAAACAGGCAGTGGTGCTTTTCTCAACACTGCTTTGCTGACATCGCTGACTCTGGAAATTTCACACTTATTACAAAAATAGAAAGAAAAAAAGGAAGAAAGGAAGATCCCAGAAGAGGGCTTTACTCTGTCTCATCCACTTCAATGAAGATGTCATTGAAGACGAACTCCGAGACTGTGGTGGCCTCCTCTTCACATGCCTGTTTTGGCCCACTTTTACATTTCTCTTTTAGCGATGGCTGATCAGAAGAAACCTAGGAAGAGAGGAGAACTAAAATGTAATACAGTGTGTATACACTGCCAGTGAGGACTGCATCTGTAGAGCAGTGGTACAGTGAATGCCTGCCTAGCTGGTCTGAAGCCTGGGCTCAATCCCTGGCCCATCTTCCAGAGGACCCGGGTTCAATTCCTAGCACCCACCTGGCAACTCACAACTGCCTGTAACTCCAGTTCCTCATACAGACATACATGCAGGCAAAAATCATGAATGCACATGAAATTAAAAAAAAAAAAAAAACTAAAAAATGTCTGCATGGTAAAAGCAAAAATAAACAAAATAAAAACATACATGGCATATAGAAAAAACTACAGCCTTTATCACCAAATACACCCTTCCCTTACTACTTAAGATCTCTACAAATCTTATATATATATGAGACAAGTTTCTCAAAAAGTCAAATACCCAGAAAACAGTATGAATGACTCACATACAAGTTAAAACTCACACAGTAAGACTATCTGCTCATAAGGGCTACGGAGAATGAACTGGCATGGTGGTACACTTCTATAATCTTAAATCCTGGGATTCTAGCTAAAGGCCATATTGGGCTACAAACCAAGATCATGATCTCAATCCAAAAAACAAAGGTGTGTGTACAAGGTGGGGGCAGAGAGTACATTGGTAGTGTAAAACTGGTAGCATGGTAATAGGCGTGGTCCCGTAGAGACAGAGCAGGTAGTATCTATCAAAAGAACAACCGTTTATCATTCCTTTTGGCAAAGCACTTACAACTGTATCTCTTAATAGAACAAGTATTTGTAGGACTCATTGGATAGCCGTACTCTATACTGTTCTACCACTATCAGGTTTACGGATGAACAGAATTTACTTATAAGACAGCAATTATTGTGCTGTTTGACATGGAACATAATTAGGAACATCCTAAATGCCTAATAAAAAATTGGTATTACTAAGTAGTACAACCCAATAATGAAAAGCCATACAGTCATTACAGACAGGCCAGCATGTGGTGGCACAAGCATGTAATTCCCACACTCAGAAGACTTAGTCAAGAGCTTCATTAAGTTTCATTCTTGAGATTTTTGTCTCAAAAAATAAAAAAGAAAGGAAGGAAGGAAGAAAGAAAACAAAACAACAAAACATCAACAATAAGGATACTTTCAGACATTTACCACTAAAAAATAAAAATGTTTATATGTATACAAACACGAAGTGTTCACATCACCTCTGCTCACAAAAGTAAGAAACTTAAAACTAGATGTTTTTCTATAGGGAAGGGCATTTAAAGAAAAAAAAAAAGACCGAGTCTTTAATCCCAGCAGGCAGACAGATCTCTGAGTTCAAGGATAGCTTGGTCTACAGAGTGAGTTCCAGGCTAGTGTTAAAAACCTCATTCAAATAAAAAAAGAAGAACAAAAATATACTGTAATACATTGACACCACACCACTATTTTACAACAAAAAGTAACAAGCTACTGACTCAGAGATAGACAGAAACAGCATAATCTCCAGGTAAGCCAGAAAAATCAACTAATTACTAATATACAAAACTATCTGAATGGATATTTAGGAAGCTCTGTTGGTGAGGGAACCTAATCTGAAATGTGTAATACAATGTATGCAACATTTCTGAAATGACAGACTCAATGAACAGATGGTTAAGGAGGGAGTGGAGGAGGAAGCAGGCCCGTATACATAGATGGACAACACAAGGGGTCTTGGCAGCTGTACTGGACTGTCATTGGGCCAATGTCAGAGTTGGAATAGCATTTTGCAAAATGTTGTTAGCACTGAGGAAAACTGGGGGAAAGGTGAATGGATTTATTTATTTATTTATTTATTCATTCATTCATTCATTCATTCATTTATTGTGGTATGTCTTACAACTCCACACAAAATTTACAATGATCTCAAAAATGGAAACTGTGAGAAAGAGAGTGAGACTGAAAGCTGCACTGTATTTAACAAAGGTCTGCTAAGACATACGGGGGTTCTGTTATCATTTCTGTTTAGACAAATGCTCACTGGTAGTATGTTCCTAGAGTGCATGAAGCCCCAAGTTAAATCCCCAGCACTGTAGGGGGCTGGCTGGTCCCTGCCCTTAGACAGCTGCAGAATGCACAGAAATGGCATACAAACACATTCTACAATTATGCTTCTTTGAATTTTTATGTGCCAGAACATTCCTCCTAAGAAAATAAAACTACAAATAGTACTTCATTTTGCTTCTATAGGTCAGCAGAGTCTTTTCTTTGAAGGAATGACAATTAAGTATACCATCGATGGCTTGTTCAACAGCTTACACTAAACTAGCTGCACTTTTGTGGTAAACGGAAGTTATACTGAAATGATTTCTGACCTGCAACTGAAAATAAATTGCTCCATTTTCCCTAGTTGAGAGGACATATAGAATACAACAGCTCTCACATACCTGAGCTGCTGACTTTCCAGTATCATCAGACTGAGGATCAGTAATACTTGGAGATGGGAGTGGATCAGAAGAAGATTCTTCAGTTTTTTTCTGGCTTGTATTAAGTAGATTAGGTTTTTTCAAATTTCGTCGTGATGCAGGTATATGAGGCTTTAGGCGCTTCTTACTATGGGTTTGAGTCGCTTCGTCAGAGTCCAAACTATTTTTTGGACATATTAAAGACAAAAATCCCAAAGGTCTTCTGCCAGGTCTAGAAATGAAAATACAGAGATATTCAACAAGAATGTACAAACACACTCTCTCTCTCTCTCTCTCTCTCTCTCTCTCTCTCTCTCTCTCTCTCTCTCTCTCTCATAGAAGGTCTTCCTATCTATGCAGTCAGGATTTTCCGGACTGAGCCTCTGAGTCCTGTGATACTACACGCATGTGTTAGCACACTCAGCAAAGCACACTCCTATGTAATGGTGCACAGCACTCAGGAGGCAGAGGCAGAGTGAGTTCCAGGACAGCCAGGGCTACACAGAGACCCTGTCTCAAAAAAACAAAAAACAAACAAACAAAAAGACACGGTCTTAGTGTAACTTTATTTGCATTAATGCTAAAGAGGTGCACTGTACTGAGTACTGATGACACTATGCTATGATGTCTATTTACGACAAGGGCAAGGCTGCCCAAACTGAAAAGTGCACACAGGTCACCTGGGGTGCTATTAAAAATGGAACTCAGAATTTGAAACAAGTGCAGGCTGAGTCAAATGACGTCTACAGTGCAAACGCACTCTGACTGTAAGTTTTAGGATGTGTAGTGTTCATGGCACAGCCGCTTCTGTGCTGCAAACGAAGTAGGACAGCTGCAGTAGAAACCACATGGCCCTGCAGCCTAAGTAGATCCTGTAGGAGCTATTTCTGATAAAAGTTTATTACTCTGCCCTCCCTTTTGCTTCTCAACTCGTTTTAAACCTGGTAGTACTTTCTTACTATTTTCTAAATTTCAGGTTAGAAAAGATATTAATGAGTTTTACTTTCTGCATTTAAAGATAATAACAAATATAATAAATAATAGATGAAATAAGCCCTTTTTGAACAGGGTCTCTTTTTCTGTTTGTTTTTGAGACAGGGTTTCTGTGTAGCTTTGGAACCTGTCCTGGAACTTGTTCTATAGACCAGGCTGTCCTTGAACTTATATAGATCTGCTTGCCTCTGCCCCCGCCCCCGCCCCAAATGCTGGGATGAAAAGTGTAAGTGACCACTGCCTGGCTAAATAGGATTTCTTTATGAAGCCCTAGACTAGGCTGGCCTCAACTCAAAGATCCTTTTGAGTTGTTTCCCCAAGATGCCTTTGCTGTCCCCCCAAGTGCTGGAATTAAAGAAGTTAGCTACCACAGCCCAGCTCGACATAGCCTTTTAAAGACATTCATGTCTTCTCCCCTTGGTGGAAGCTAGTGCCTGCTGTCCTCCACTTAGCAGGTTAAAGTCTGTTATTACCAATTACCCTAAAGAAACAAGGTGGTAGCAGTAGGTATGACCCTACGGAAAACCAATACTACAAGCCTAAGGGGAAAAAATGACATAGTATTTGGAAATTGAAGAACACAACTTCCAGAGCCACTGGACACCAACTCTATGTTGTCTCATAGACACATAACTGATAGGGCTGCGTCTATAAAGTACTAGGCTCTGGTTTTCATCTCTGTCATGCATGTCACATTCTCACCTGGGGACAGAGAGAAAGTCACTAAAGAATTTGTAACAATACCTGGTCAGAGGGGGTTTTGATGATGACGTCATGCTATCCCTTTGTTCGGAACTGGAAACAGGACCAGTCTTCTCTTCTTTATCAGACACCATCTCATCCTGAGGCAACTGAGTCATGGTCTTTTCCACACAGGCATCTTTTATTTCGTCAGGAGATCTCGATGCTACATTCTGAGAAGTTGGCTCACTGTATTCCTTTTGAGGTTTAGGAGCTGCATGTGTGTTCTCTGAAGTAGGGAAAATGCCTTGTCCCATGCAAGACTCTTCTTCAAAGAGAAAAAAAAACAGAGAGGAGAGAGAAAAAGAGAGAGCATATTGAAATATTTTAAAAGTCAATTAAATAGGAGTATCTGAGGTATTCATGGTGTTCTATAAACCTAGCTCAGCAAAAACAATCTGTATTATATTAGTGGAGTAGACTATTAGGAATTACCAGTTGAAGTAGGGCATGCTGGTTTAAGCCTGTAATCCCAGCACTCAAAAGGCTAATATAAAAAGACTGTTGTGTTCGAGACCAGCCTGGTCTACAAGAGCTAGTTCCAGGACAGGAACCAAAAGCTACGGAGAAACCCTGTCTCGAAAATTTAAAAAAAAAAAGACTGTTGCGTAAGTTTTAGGCCAGCCTGGGATATACAGAGAGTTCTAGGCCAGCCTGTCCTTTAGAGTGAGACCCTATATTAAAAAAAGAAAAGAAAAATGATTTGGGGAACTGGAGGTTGCCAAAGCAGTAGACCAACAACAGTCTATGTGTTACACCAGGACTGACAAGTCAGGAAAAGAAAGTATAGAATACCCCAAGGAGAAAACAAGCGAGGGCATGAGCAAGCAAAAAAGAGATCATAGGACAGCTGGAAAGCATGCAATAATAAAAAGACTAAGCAACAAAAACAAGGAATCAAGACCAGCACTTAGGAGGCAGAGGCCGGTCTCTGTGAAGTCAGCCAGCCTAGTGAACACAGTGAGTTCCAGGCCAACCAGGGCTACATCTTGTATCTCTGGGCGTGGTTATACATGCTCAGAATCCCAGCAGGTGGGAGGCAAAGGCAAAAAGATTGCCAGAAGTTCAAGAACAGCTAAGAATAGACAATGAAATACTGTCTTAAAAAACAAAACAAATAGAACCCAGAATTATCTGTCCCACCAATGTGCAAATTGGCAAACAGCAACACAAAAACCATTAAAAGGCAAGTCAGCACCAGAACTGGGAAAATGCAGGACGAAGAACTCAAGTCTACTAGTAAAAATGACCAATGATTTCAAAGACACAAACATGTAAGTAAATAAAGTAATCAATTCAGGACCCAGAGAAGATTTAGCAACATGGATGTAACCAGATTTTGAGAGATGAGAACAGAGGTAGGGGAGAGCAGGGACAGGCAAAGAATAGAACACAAATAAAAGTGATGGAAATCACAAAGTGAATCAAATTAAAACCACAGTGAGAAAGCATTAACAATAGACCAGAACAGCTCTCTCCCAAAGATAATAACAAAATATAACATAGAACTGTAGTAACAGAAATAGCATATATGTATGTAGATATAAATATGTAATTCAGTAGAATAAAGGAAAAGTAATAAATATGCAATTACAGCCACTTGATTTTCAACAAAGGAACTAAGACAACGAAGAAAAGAGAGCCTAGTCTCTTCAATGAAGTGCTGAGAAACTTCACTGTGCATGCTGGTTACTCTCATTCAGAATGAAGCTAATTAGCTATCTCTTATCCTGTATAAAATTCAATTTAAGAGCTGGAGAGATGGCTCAGAGGTTAAGAGCACTGACTCTTCTTCCAGAGGTCCTGAGTTCAATTCCCAGCAACCATATGGTGGCTCACAGCCATCTATAATGAGATCTGGTGCCCTCTTCTGAAATGCAAGCATACACGGAAGGAATGTTGTATACATAATAAATAAATCTAAAAAAATGAAAAAGTTGTTTATTTATTTTTGGTTTTTCGAGACAGGGTTTCTCTGTGGCTTTGGAGCCTGTCCTGGAACTAGCTCTGTAGACCAGGCTGGTCTCGAACTCACAGAGATCCACCTCCCGAGTGCTGGGATTAAAGGCGTGCGCCATCATCACCCGGCGACAACTCAATTTAAAATGTGTCAAAGACCTTACTATAAATCTGAAATAACTGGAGTGTAATGTTAAAAAAAAAAAAAACTACTTCAGAATACAAGCATAATGAGGGATTTTGAAATATTATTCCTCTTCAAATTTAGTGTATCTGAGGTTTGTCAGAAACCTGTTTTTACACAAGGTATGGCTCTTAAAAAACTTTTAAAAAATTACTGCTAGTGCAATATTAGAGAGTAAGTTTCAAAAGAGAGAGTCAGTGGTTTGAGATATTAGATAAAAATGAGTGAGGATTTATTTCAAGCTCAAGATGCATCAGAAATAATCAGTGGTACTTAGCAAAAATAAAGTCATATTTAAATTGATCTCACCTGTTTTCTCAAAAACATTGAATTCCTTTGAACATACCTGTTCAAGAAAATATACAAAGTTTTAGAACTCCACTTATTAAGTAAAATTAAAATTCTATCCCCTTCATCATGCTATAATGAAAGCTCTTGAGTCAGAATTATACCACCAATTAAACATTTGCAAAAACGGGGCATTGCTGATATTAAACTGCTATAGAGCACAGTAGAAAAATAAAAGTTGTCAAATGTCTTTTATCTCAGGCATAATATTGATACCAACTGCCAAATAGAGAGAGAGAGAGAGAGAGAGAGAGAGAGAGAGAGAGAGAGAGAGAGAGTAACAGAGAATAACTTTCCATGTGTCATGAGTATCCAAGTCATGGTCGCACACAAGCTAAGCAAGGCACTACCACTGAAGTGCATCTCTGGCCCCTCAACTCAAACACCTTTAAAAAGCCAATTAACAAAATACTACATCATGGTCAATTAGTAGTCCATTTCAGAAATGTAAAAATGAAACAATATGATAAACGTCAACTTCACAACTTTACAAAGTTATATAATTCAAAAGAAGAAAATTATCCTTATTCACAGAACTATTCATACTTTAGGGGGGAAGTAAAAAAAAAAAAAAAACTAAGGGTTTTGCAGTGCTGCCCAGGCTGATTTCAAATTCCTGGATTCAAGCAAAGTCTATACTATGGCTACTCTGGGCTAGAACAGTGCAGGAGAAAGTTGGCTGTGGCAATCTAGAATCCCAACCTGGAAGGCAGAGGCAAAGTAATTCTGAATTTGAGTCCAGCCTCAAAATAAAAGAAAAAGACAGGGAGAAACTTTGTATATACAATATTTTATTGTTAAAACAAAATTTATAAAATAAAAGCTTATAAAATATATTGACAAATAAGGCCAGCAGGCATTTTTCTTTTTTTCTTTTTAAATCTTATTATTCTTATGTATCTGAATGTCTTGTCTGCATGTGTGTCTCTGCACAATGTGAGGTCAGTAGAGGGATCGGGGCCATTGGGACAGGAGTCACAGAGTAGTGAACCTCCATGTGGGTGCTGGGAATCGAATCCAGGTCCTCTGCTAGAGCAACAGTGCTTTTTAACTGATGAGCCAAGTCTTCAGCCCCATACATATTTTCTTAATATATTAATAGCATTGTATATTTTTCATTTGCATTTTACAATTTTAAGTCAATGGAGAAGGAGTAATGGGTGGTCAAAAGACAATCTCTGGTGTTATCCTCAGGAATATTAATCACCCCTTTGAAGACAAGTCACTCATCGGCCTGGTGCTTACCAATAAGCCTAGACTGGGAATTTCCTCAGGCTGCGGCTCTTGTTGCAGTTGCTGACTAGGATAGCTGTAGCTTAAAAGGCAGCAACCATTAAACAAGAGGACAACATCAATCTACCTCAAGACCCAGCAACACAATTTTTGGGCATATACCCAAAGGAGGCACACGCATAACACAATATTTGCTCAACCAGGTTCATAGCAGTTTTATTGTAATAGCCAACCAGAACCTGGAAACAACCTAGATGCTCATCGGTCAAAGAGCAGATAAAGAAAATGTAGTTCATTTACACAATGGAGCACTATTCAGCAGTAATAAGAAAAAAAAGACATCTTGAAATTTGCAGGCAAATGGATAGAACAAGAAAAAAAAAAACATTCTGAATAAGTTAACCCAGACTCAGAAAGACAAATATTACTGTACTTACTCATAAGTGGATATCAAACACAAAGCAAAGGATAACCAGTTTGCAGTCCACAACTCCAGAGAAGCTAGAACCCTCTTCCAGAAAGAGATGGAAGCAGATGCAGAGATCCACAACTAACCAGTGGGCTGAGCTACCAGAGTACCACTGAAGAAAAGAAGGAGCGTCAAGACCACAGTGGGGAAATCCACAGAAGCAGCTGACCCGAGCTAGTGGGAGCTCACTGACAACTGGGGTACCTACTTAGCCCTCTGAAAGCAGGCGACAATGGTGTGACTTGGGCAGTATGTGGAGTCACTGGCAGTGGGACCAGGATCTAACCCTAATGCATGAAGTGACTTTGTGAAGCCCATTCTCTATGGAGAGATACCTTGTCAGCCTAGGAGGGAGGGGAGGGGCGCTTGATCTTGCCTCAATAAGGAGTAGATGGATGGGGTGGGGAGAATGGGAAGAGAGGAGAGGGGGAGCTAGGAGTGGTATGTAAATAAGTAAATAAATAAATAAGAATATAGAAGTTGTTTCACAACAAAAGAAACAGAAATAAGTAATTCTTAAGCACATGGAAAGATGCTTAATTTTACCAATAAACACGAATAATTAAGAATATGGAATACAAAACTTTCCTATCGGATTAAATAAATAACAATGATACTTTGTCTACTACCAACAACTGTTGTCCTTCAACTTTTCTTTGGAGAACTTAATTTTAAATTGACTTCTCACAGTAAAGTCACTAATTATGAATATCAGAAACACAACAAAAACAAGAGGGTACTAGGAAACTAACAGTGAACAGGGACTGCATCTCTGAGGTCTGACTGGACTCCCTGAGGTAGCAATGACTGAGCTAAATCAGTGATGTTTCATAAGGAAATGCTCCATACAGATGGGACAACCAACGAAATGTATCAGGACGTGAAGGATTACAGAGCAGTAAAGGAACTGAAAGTCAATGTAATGTGGCTAGCAAGTGAGATTGAGACTAGTACAGAATGCCAGACAGCGGAACACATAGAGCTCAGAAGACAGACAGGAACACATAGGGCTCAGAAGACAGACAGGAACACATAGGGCTCAGAAGACAGACAGGAACACATAGGGCTCAGAAGACAGACAGGAACACGTAGGGCTCAGAAGACAGACAGGAACACGTAGGGCTCAGAAGACGGAACGGAACATATAGGGCTCAGAAGACGGAATGCAACATATAGGGCTCAGAAGACAGACAAGAACATATAGGGCTCAGAAGATCTGGTTGTATTCCCAAGAGCAAAGGAAAGGTTAACACATAATGAAGAAAATATTACTATTATTTTTCATGCATCAGAAAACTCTGAATCCAGAGTATGAAGTTGTTACTCTACAGCCCACAGTTACTAAGTGGGTGGCAGAGTGAAGATCCTGATTGACATGAAGTTATTGGCCTTATTTTCAGTCATTGTAGGTTTCCTGATTAATGTTCATTAATTATTTTTTGAACTGGTTAAAAATGGTCATCCCAAACTACCTTCAGCTGGAATACTAATGATGAGAAGTATCAGAAATATTTTTTCATCTGTTCGTCAGTCCGGCTATGTGTGTGTGTGTGTGTGCGCGTGCGCGTGTGTGTGTGTGTGTGTGTGTACATACGTACATATGTGTAAAAGTTTCAGGATAGATGTGAAGAATAAACAGATTCTTGACAATACAGCCAAGGCACTTGCTTAATAATCTCACCTCAGAGGCACACTCTTGACCATCGACTCCCAGAGAAATTGAGGACTTTTTGGCAGGAGGTGCAAGAATGTTTTCATCAGGACTGCAGTGAATTCTCTTCCTAGATATAAGATCCACCTTAGGAGGAGGCTTTTCAGAATCACCACTTCCAGAAGGAGACAAGCATATGGCATCTTGAACAACTGAAGTTGTTTGTAAACTCTCACTGCACAAAAAACACATAAAAAAACAATGAATCAGAAGCTACTTTATGAAGTAACTATTGCAATGAGAGTACTGAGGATCAGAAATACAAGCTAGTAAACAATGGTCCCAGCAGCAAAAATAGCAGTTCGGGATGTACTCATACTTAAAGGCTCACACAATTCAACAATACTGAATTAAATCTAAGGAACATATATAATGTGAATGCCACAGTACTAAATTTTAAAAAGCAAAGAACACTGACACGGAAAGAAAAATATAGGCCCCAGTATGTTACAGCATCTTTCCATATACAACTCTCAACAATATAGATCAATCAATCAATCAGACAGACAAAATACCTACTCACAAATACATAAAGTTTCAATAAGATCAAATAGATTTATACACAGCGCCATTTAACAAAACACCCACACAGAAGTTTGATTAAAGAAATCACAAATGCAAATAAAAATCCTTCTACTCAAAGGATGTGAGAAATGCCCGGTCAGCAAGCGCTGCCATGAGAATGAGAACCTGAGTTCAGACCTTCAGACCCACATGAAAGCCAGGGCAGCACTGTGTGCCTGTGACCTCACATACTGACTGACTGACAGGGGAAGGGGCAGTGGAGATTGGCTAGCCAGTCTAACTAAATCAGAGAGACGCCTGTCTGAAGAAAAATACTGAGTAAGGGATGAGAAATGGCTCAGCAGTTAAGAGTTCTTATTTCTTGGCTGGGTGTAATGGTATGCTCCTTTAATCCCAGCACTCAGGAGGCAGAAGCAGGTGGATCTCTGCTGAGTTTGAGGTCAGCTGATCTACATAAAGAGTTCTGGGACAGCAGGGGCTACATAGATTCTGTCTAAAAAAACAAAAACAAAACAACAACAAAAAAAGGGAAGAGGAGAAGGAGGAGAAAGAAGAGCTGGGCAGTGGTGGCACACACCTTTAAGCCCAGTACTCAGGAAGCAGAGTAACTCAGGAGGATCTCTGAGTTTGAGGACAGACTGGTCTACAAAGTAACTTTCAGGACAGCCAGGGCTATTTCGCAGAGAAACCCTGTCTCGAGAAACCAAAAACTAAAAGATAGAGGACCTGTTCTTGAAGATCCAGATTTAGTTTCCAGCAGCCACATGGCAGTTGACAACCATCTGTAACACCAGAACCCATACAGAAAAGCTGTGCTAAGTAGAAAGTTTATAGCTAAGACAGCTGCATTAACATTAGAAAGAAAAATGAGGCTGGGGTGAAAGCAGGACCCGTAGAGAAGTTGTCATAAAAACATGAGGTCCGTGTCCAAACACATTAACAAAAGCTGGGCATGGTGACATGCCACGTGTTCCACAGTTCGGGAGGTGGACAAAGGCTGACCTCTGCAGCTTCTTAACAAGCCAGACTGGCCCATCTGTTGAGGTCCAGGCCACTAACAGACTGTCTCAAAACCAAGGTGGCATCCAAAGCTGTATTCTGGCCTCCGTGCACACAGGTTACACACAAAAGAAAAACATCAAAATATAGTGAGCAATCAAAGCTTTAGAAAGGCAGTAACTGAATCCAAAGTTGGTAGATAGGAAGTGAAAGAAAATGGGAAGAAAGAATGATATAAACTAGCCTTAGACAGATGGTTAACCTATTAAAACAGAGAACATTGCCCCCAAAATGGTGACAAGGGGATAGATATTACAGTACCATTGAAATAAAAAGGATCATTAATACTTTGAAAACCATAAGCCAATAAACTGGAAACTCTAAAATAAATTCATAAATGTCTGGTATATATGACCAAAACTGAAACAAGAGTATATTGGGAAGGGGGAAAAAAACTAAATTGAGTAATAATCACTACAGAATTAAAATTGAAGTAGTAATAAAAAGTCACTCAATAAAGAGCTCAGAACCAGAAGAATTCACTATCAAATTTTACCACACTTAAAGAAAATCAATCTACTCAACAAAACTCTTTCAAATTTACTCCATGAGTAAATTACTCAAATTGCCTTACAAAACCTGATGACAGAGTAAAAACAGCTATGGATCAACAACATTCTTGCTGAAGACAATGTGGAAATCTTCAATTAAATATTTGTAGAAATAATTAAATAAGCATCCCTCCCTTGTAATTCCTCACATTCTCTTGAGGTCTTTCTCACTTTTCCTTAATCTATGTTTACTCAGATGAAAAAAAAAAAGTATCTTAAAAAGATCATATATCATGATAGAGTTGATTTCATCCCAGAGAGTGAGGATGACTTAACATATACAAATCAATAGCTGAGCTTAAAATACAGTCAAGAATAAACATCACATAATGATCTCAATAGATGAAGAATGAAGTCTCTGATAAAATTCAACATACCTCCATGTTAAAAACCCTTCAATAAGTATATATAGAAAGATGATATTACAACACAATAAAGGCTATATATGACAAACTCAGATAACAAATGGAACAAAAGTGAAAGCATTTCATCTAAGATCAGAAATAAGCTAGAGATTTCCACTCTGATTAATATAATACTTGAAATTCTAGTTTTAACAATTAAAAGAGATGAAAAAGACAGAAAAAGGAAACGAAGTCAAATTATTCCTAAGTGATTCTACACATAGAAAACCCTAAATATTCTACCCAAAGACTCTTAGGACAGGTAAATAAATGCAACAAGGCAGGATATAAAAATATACAAAAGTCAGCTGGGCGCTGGTGGCACATGCTTTTAATTCCAGCACTCAGGGGGCAGAGGCAGGCGGATCTCTGTGAGTTTGAGGCCAGCCTGGTCTACAAGAGCTAGTTCTAGGACAGGCTCCAAAGCCACAGAAACTAAAATCAAAACAAAAACAAAAAAAAAACCAAAACAATATTTCTATATAATAATAATAAACTCATTGAGAATGAAACCAGGAAAAGAATCCTATTCATAAGAGCCTTAAAAACAAAACAAAAATCCCACAGCAAGTAAAAGACTTAAGTGATTGAAATGACAAACACTGAAGAATCTGAAGACACTAAATGATGAAATGACCACCCAGGTTCATGGATCAGGGAAGTTAAAATTGCTACATCAGCTGAACTGGTTAAAGCAATTATCCTAGTTAGATTTTTGTCAACTTGACACAAGTCAGAGTCACCTGGAAAGTGGAACCTCAATGGAGACAATAACTCACAAACACTGGCCTGTAGGCAAGTCTGTGGAGCATTTTCTTGATTAATGATTGATAATGGAGGGCACGGGCCACAGGGATGGTACCAGCTCTGGGCCAGTGTCCCTGGAGAAAGCAAACCAAGCAAGCCAGTAAGCAGCATTTCTCCATGGCCTCCCCTCTGTCCCTTCCTCCAGTTCTGACTTCCCTCAATGATGGACTATAATTTGTTTTTTTTTAACTGATTTTTATTGAACTCTACATTTTTCTCTACTCCCTACCCTGTCCCTCTCTTACCCGGTTCAACCCTCCCCCAAGGTCCCCATGCTCCCAATTTACTCAGGAGATCTTGTCTTTTTCTATTTCCCATGTAGATTAGATCTATGTAAGTCTCTCTTAGGGTCCTCATTGTTGTCTAAGTTCTCTGGGATTGTGGTTTATAGGTTGGTTTTCTTTGCTTTATGTTTAAAAACCACCTATAAGTGAGTACATGTGATAATTGTCTGTGTCTGGGTACCTCACTCAAAATAATATTTTCTAGCTCCATCCATTTTCCTGCAAAACTCAAGATGTCATTATTTTTTTCTGCTGTGCAGTACTCCATTGTGTAAATGTACCACATTTTCAAAAATACGGAACGCTTCACGGATTTGCGTGTCATTTGGAAAGTAAAAAAGAAACCCTTTCCTCACTCCAAGCCGCTTTTGATCACACTGTTTAGTCACAGCAAGGTTTCTCTCTCTCCTGCTAGTTCCCAAATAACCACTCTGAGGCTTAATATTCATTACAAACTGTTTGTCCAATGGCTCAGGCTTATAACTAACTAGCTTTTACATCTTAAATTAACCCATTTCTATTAATCTATGTATTGCCACATTTCTGAGGCATTACCTCACATCTTACTTCTCTGGTAGCTGCTTGCATCTCCTAGACTCCGCCTTCTTTTTCCCCTGAATCTTTGTTTGGATTTCCAGTCTAGCTAGATTCTGTTCTGCCATATGCCAAAGCAGCCTCTTTATTAATCAATGGTAATAAAACATATTCACAGTATACAGAGGGGCATCCCACATCAAAAGTCAATGTAATTCTTTTCAGAATATTAAAGGCATTCATTCTCCATAGAACTAGAAAATACAATACAAAAATTCAGACAGAAGCACAAAAGTCTGAACAGCCAAAGCAATCCTGAGAAAATGAAGCAATGCATTAAGTATCAAAATACCTATTTCAAAATATACCAAAAGAACCACAGTAACAGAAACTGCAGGTCAGTAGCATAAAAATGAAATACAGGTCAAAAGAACAGAATAAATAAACAAACAAACCCATATATCTATAGCTAATTCTTAGCACAGGTTCTACAGCTGTAGAATAGACAGCTTCTTAAATAAATAGTGCTGGGAAAAACTTATGTCCACATATAGATTTAAAACTAGAATCACTGGGGCTGGAGAGATAGCTCTGCAGTTAAAAGCACTTGTTGCTCTTGCAGAAAATCTCGGTTCAGTCCTCAGCTTCCATATTGTAGTTCATAAACAACCACCTGATAACTCCCATTCCAGGGGATCAGTTGCCCTCTTCCAGCCCCCAAGGGAATCAAATGCATATACACGGTACATATACATACATGCAAGCAAAATACTCATACATATGCAATAAATCTAAGAACAAGCCAAAATAAAAACTCTCAAAAATCAAACCAAACAAACAAAAAAACCTAGACACTTTGTCTCATCCTGCATGTGCATGCACACACATAGAAACCTCCAAATGAATCAAAAATCTTAACCTCAGACTTGGAACCTTGAAAATATTAGAAACACTGTTGCGGGAGGTCCTTCCAGCCCTCCAACCAATAGCTGCTGTGATACTAGCCCATTGGGGCGTGGTCTCTCTCCCTTTAAAAAAGCGGCTATTTCCTCTGCTTGCTCTCTTCACTTCCTGCTCCACCGGAGACTAGACTCCCTTCCTGGTTGTGCAGATGGCTGTTGTCTGGGACGGTGATCTGTAAGTTTTCCCCTTTAAATAAATAACACCCTATTAATCATAACTCCAAACTGGTGTGGCCTTGTTCGTGACTTACGCCTTCAAAACACAAGATAAACATGCTGCTCCAACAGCTTGGGAAGTAAAAAGTCAATGAACAAATGGAATTAAACCAAATTATAGAGCTTCTGAAATGAAAGAGACAGAGTAGAAAGAACCTACAGAAATCAAAAAAGCAGGAAATTGTTTGCAGCTCTTTATCGCAATAAGATGAGTGCTGACTGAGAAGCCAAAGACAATGGCACTGGGTTTTGATTCTATTCCATGTACTGGCTTTGTGGGAACCTAGTCCGTTTAGAGCCTCACCTTCCTAGACCTGGATGGAGGTGGGTGGTCCTTGGACTTACCACAGGGCAGGGAACCCTGATTGCTCTTTGGACTGGAGAGGGAGGAGGAGGGGGACGCAAATGGAAGGAAGTGAGGAGGTGAAAATGTGTAATAATAATAATAAAATAAAATAAATAAAAAAGGAAAAAAATTAAAAACATTTCAAAGCAAATTTAAAAAAAGATTAATACAGAAACATAAAAATAATTTTTTAAAACTAATTTGTGTGCTGGGGAAGACACAGTGTGCACAGCATATGTTCGAGTTCAGAGTACAACTTGTAAGAGTTCTTTCTCTCTTCCACCATGTGGATTCTGGGGCGCAAACTCAGGTCACGAGGCAAGTAAACAAGTGGCTTTACCTGCTGTGTTATCTTGCCAGTCCACACACAGAATTTTTTAAAAGGCAGTATGTATTATACACCTTTAATCCCCGTACTCAGGAGGCTGAGGAAGAAGACTGAGAGCTAAGCAAAGCCAGGCTACAATGGCAGACCCATACAAATGCACATATGGACATGCTGGAACAAAACCCTTTCTTTATACAACCAATACACTAATTAAAACTAAATTAAAAATGGACAACTGATCTCAAATTCTCAAAAGCACAATTGTTCAATAAACTTCTAAATAATGCAATATCAGTTATATCAAAATTCTACCTTATTCCAGTCTAAATAGCTAATATTAAACAAAACAAAACAAAAAGTAAAAATGCTGGCAATGATGTAAAAGAAGAAACCCTTATAGATCACTGAATATAAAATCAGTGCAGTCATTACAGAAAACAGGATGGAGGTTCCTCAAAAATCTAAAGATAGGCTTTCTTTTTCTATCCCCCTTCTGAAGAGATAACTTCTGCCTTCCTCTCCCTCTCTCTCTCCCTGCACCAACTTCCTCAGGCTTGTGCACGTTTTTCTCTCTCTTAATAAACTCTTAAAAGTGGGGGGGAAATTATAAAGATAGGATCATCTACCTCATGATCCACATATACACAGAACTGAAGGAAATGAAGTCAGCACGTAAAAAGAAACACCCACGCTTTTTGTGATACTATTAATGGCAGTCAAGTTATAGAAACTAAGGCATCAGACTAAGTGCCCATCAACAGATGAGTACATAGAGAAAATGTCTGGGCACATACTACACATACACACACACACACACACACACACACACACACACACACATCTTTTATTCAACTAAAAGGAAAACTGAAATTTATTACTAGCAAGACAATGAACAGAACTAGAATATTGTGAAATATGTGAAATAATCCATAAACAGAAAAACAATCACATTTTCTCTCATATATAGACATTAAAAACAAACAAAAAACCACAAACAAAGAATCTCACAAAAGCAGCAGGACTTTAGGACAAAAAAGAGAGGAGCAGTCCAGAAAGTGGAAGAGGGTGGAACAGAGAACAGACAAGGTCCAAACACGACATGTATCCATGGAAATGGCACAATGAGCATCATTAACAAACTAATAGTTGTGATTTTATAAAAAGAAACGACAGTGTATAGTTCAGTTGTTCAATACTTGATTCATGATGTGCCTTTCCTCCTGGGAAAACAGTTTAGCTCTTTTGTTTTGTTTTGTTTTGTTTTACCTGTGGTGACCTCTTTCTACTGTGTTTCCAGATTTGACCAATATAGGTGCTGGCAGTAGAGAGCTTGGCATTAACTGCATGGAGGCATCAGTAAATCCTTCTGTTGTATTAGTTGGGATTTCCACCAAAGTTAAAATGAATGCTTGTTCATCTTCTCCATCTTGCTCTGGATTAGCAAATAGATTCACTGTCAAAGTTAAAAAACAGGAATGAAAAGCCAAACCAAGAGGTAGCCAAAAATCATTATTTCATCTCTAAAAAGAGTCTCATGACTTACAATGCCAAACCTAAATAAAAAACTAAAATACACCCTCCAACCCCCTACCCCGAAATTATACAGGATATTTTGTGGGAAGCATTTATAATTTTTAATAAAATGGGTAAACTTCACGCATATTTTATGACTGCCATTGCCAATGGCTTATTATTAAGTCTATATTGTGCTTTTCCATAGTTACATGAAAGCAAGATGTAGTGGAACACACCTTTAATGCTAGCACTGAGAGGAAGAGAGGCAGGAGTATTTCTGTGAGTTTGAGGCAAGCCTGGTCTACATAGCAAGCTCCAGGACTACACAGAGAAACCCTGTCCCTAAAAATAAATAAATAAATGAATAAATGAATGAATAAATAAATAAATTTATACAGTAAATTATCTATGATACTTGCTGGAAGCAGTCTTCATACCTGTTACGTCTTGAGGATTGATCATATTTTCTTGTTGGACTTCTAGAATATTAGATGGAACACTCTGTCATTTAAAAAAAATTGAAAAGATACTGAGCTTGAGAAAATTTGACAATTTGACATATGGTAAAAAGACAGTATCTCCCAACTTAAAGGCTTATCTTAAATGTACAATTTTAAGTGTTCTTAAGACTTTTGGTTGTGTCAATGAACATCTGACTGACTTACATAAGCTTTAAATATCCCAATTAAGTTGTCAGAAGTGAGTATTCTATGATTTCTGAAGTGTCAGGGTGGAAGTCCATGTTCCCATTGCAGCAGACCCTTGAGTAGGTAACACTGCAATGGAGATAAACTACTTTCCTTGCCTCCACTGTGGTCCCTCCTGTTTTACACAAACTACCAATATATAGATTGCAATTCTCTAATGTTAAAAATCTCCAGGATTTCATTTTTGAAACAATGCCAACAATTGACTCAAGTAAGGGTCGTCAATAGATACCAAAGATAGTGGGAAACAAGAGCTGGGTCTCACTAGACCAATTTCTAACATAAAGGAGGAAAAAAACCAAACAAACCTTATAACCAAGAAATCTCACAGATACCATCCTAGCCAAGTGATTAGAAGTATTTCCACTAATGGGTCAAAATGACATTATGCCACACAAAAGGAATGACACAGCATTGCCTGTCTACTGATCTAGCCCTAAAATTGTACAGTATGGGTCATACTAATTCTGAATGCAGCACTCACTGACATTCTCTGTGAGACACAACCTTTTTTTTATTAAAGCTATTATTTATGATTACAACTCATATTTGTAACTTACTCTTAAACAGACCAAGTCTTATTATATCTATTAATTCCTAAGAAGAAAAATAGTTGAGCATTAGCATTCATTACTCTCTAAATTAAAACAAAAAAAAAGATTTTTATTTTTACTTCTGTGTCTGCATATGCTATGTGTGCGGGTGCCCTTAAGAAGCCAGAGACAACTGACATGGGTACTAGGAATCAAACTTGGATCCTTAAGAGTACATTTTCTTAACTGCTGAGCTATCTCTCTAGCCCTTATTTATGGTGTGTGTGTGTGTGTGTGTGTGTGTGTGTTAGGAGCACTTGTAAAGGTCAGAGGAAGACTTGATGGAGCCCATTCTCTGCGTGAGTCTTAGTTAAACTCAGGTTTTGAGGTTTGGTGGAAAGTGTCTTACCCACTGAGCCATCTCGCCAGCCATCAATCACTGAGGAGATGGCTCAGCAGGTAACCTGAGTTCACCATCCCCAGAACCTATATGGTGAAAGAAGCAAAATCCCAAATACTGTGTTCTGACATCTCAGCAAGCAACATGGTTATCTGCATGCATGCCTATGTATATAAACATACACACATACTCTCATACACTCACACAATTAAAGTATCTACAATGATGTAGAGCCAGATCAACAAACAAACAAAAAAAGAAATTAACAATGACTCCAAAGAAACAGAGTATGTGAAGTTCTTACAAGATTTTTGTAACTTTACTCGACTGAAATTATTTCAAAAGAAAAATATTTTAAAAAATTAAAAACTTGGGGAGCAACAGAAATCTCATAACGTTGGTTACAGACAAACTCCTTATTTTCTACTTCCTTTAACGTATCACGATGTTCTATACCCTTTTTGTTTTTTTGGTTTTTTTTTTTTTTTCGTTTGTTTGTTTTTTGAGACAGGGTTTCTCTGTAGCTTTGGAGCCTGTCCTGGAACTAGCTCTTGTAAACCAGGGTGGCTTCAAACTTACAAAGATCTGCCTTCCTCTGCCTCCTGAGTGCTGGGATTAAAGGCATGCTATACCTATTTTTAAAATGTTCCTTTCCCTTTAACAAGCTAATTTATTCTCTCCTTCAAAACTCAAGCACTCTTCTATCCAAGAAACTTTTTAAAGACAATATTAATTCCTGACTCTCATTTCCAGAGATTAAACTGGGAGTGAAGGATACCACAAGAGTCTTGTTCCAACGTCTATCACAACACCCATCAAAATAGGCCAATCCATTCATTCACTCATGTTTCCAAAGCTTTGTATCTCAGTGACTCGGTGTCAGCCATGTAGTATCTCAGTAAACATTTGTTCTATGGATGAATTCTTGAGATCTAGACCTAAGGTATAAGAAATTAATTTCTCAAGCTTTTATAACAAATCTGGCTAATAACTTGTATCACAATTGGGGGTAGAACGACCCTTCCATGGGAGTCGCATATCAGATATTTATTTTACAAATAATGATAATAGCAAAACTACAATTATGAAGTAGCAATGAAAAAATTTTATGGTTGGGGGTCACCACAAAAAGAGGAACTGTACTAAAGGGTCACACAGCGTTGGGAAGGTTGAGAACCATTGCTCTACGGTCTTAGAGGGGTCAAGACACCAAAAACACAGCACAAGTTCTACCACATCCTGTTTTTTTATTTGGTTTTAAGACAGGTTTTTGCTTTGTTTTTTTTTTTGAGACAGGGTTTCTCTGTAGCTTTGGAGCCTGTCCTAGAACTAGCTCTTGTAGACCAGACTGGCCTCAAACTCACAGAGATCCCCCTGCCTCTGCCTCCCTAGTGCTGGGATTAAAGGCGTGAGCCACCACTGTCTGGCTTTGAGACAGGTTTTTACAGAGCCTCAAGCTTCAGGGCTCCAGGGATCCTCTTCCCTCAGCACAGGCAAGGGTCACCACATACTGCCCACAGTATACTCTGGCCGAGGTCAAACTAGGACCACAGATGTGAGGAGCTGGCAGGAAGCAGAAAGGGGCTAACCAAAGAGTGCTAGAAAATGAGTGATGAAACTGGTTGAATGAACATACATACTTGGGGGTTTTGTTTGCTTTAAAAACAGGGTCTTACAACATAGATCAGAGTGGCCTGGAACTCACAGAGGTCTGCCTACCTCTCTCTCTCAAGTGCTGGGATCAAATGTGTGTACCACCACACCCAGCTTGGTTTTGGTTTTTGAGATAAGGTCTTGCTATTTAACTCAGGCTAAACTAGTTCTTGTTACATAGCCCAGGTTGCCTTGAAACTTGAATACTCCCGTTTCTACCTAAGAGTTGGGATTACAAGTCTGAGCCTCTACATAGGTCAGGCTGAATTTAGATATTAATAAGAGGCCTACTGAACTGGATAGGATAGAGTTTACTATATGCAACTGCTTTTCTAAACGGAGAAACCACTACCCATATTGCACTCTAGATTCCTTTACCTCTGGCACAGGAAGCATGAGCATGCTGCTGCCTTTAGAGTTTTCTGTGATGGGCTCTTCAGGAGGACTCTCACCAAGACCCTGACCTGAATCAAGAGTGTGGATCCCTATCGCAGATGAAGCAACTGCAGTACACAACATCTGAACCTCTTCCAAGTTCTCCTCTTGGTCTTCACTTCTGAAACTGTTTCAGTACATTATTTTAAATTAGCTAACCAAACATGAAATTATTTTTTAAGACTAAGTATTATCATTTAATGTGATATTTTCAAGCTTTAAAAGTGTTAACTAGAATAGAATTCTTCCAGCTACTACCTGCAGCAGACGCTAAGGCACAATATAAATTTAATGCCAGTATTCCTGCCCTTTTACCTTGCACTCCGGAGTGCTTCTTGAGAAACACTGGTAACTGCACCATCATGGACACATGGCAATTGGTTCTGCTCCTTCGTTTCTGCTGGCTCAAGGCTTTTATCTTCTAATTCTACTGCTTTGGAGTCATTTTCCTCAGGCTCTTTAAAAACAAACAAAAAACAAGAAAAATACATTTAAGATACAGTTCAAAACTGCCAGGTGGTGGTGGCACACTGTTGAAGCCTGTGTCGCTCCAACACAGGTAACTATTTTTCCTAACTGGACTGATACGGAGAATAATCAGACACAACTCAGACACAACTTACAGGGTCATCATGGAAGGGCATCTCAGGGTTCTTTCTCCTGACCATCTCCCGCGTTTATTATCCAAACAGCTTATATACCATCACATCAATTGAGCAGGAAAATACATTAGGCTGTCTGCTAGGTAACCAGGTGAATGGCCTTCTGTCACTTCTGGCTGTAATCAATATAGCACACTGGCTGTTCCTGTATAGCCTGCTCTATTTATGAGAGAGTCTGTCTGGCAGCTTCTGAAAGCTGCCTGCTAGAATTTGGATCACTGTTTCCTTTAAGTATTTCATTTAAAGGCTCAAGGTCTTCTGTAGGAAACCTTAAATAAGACCTTAGCCATTGTATATTTCCTAACAACCTTTGAAAGTCATTAAGAGTTTTTACGTCATCCTTCCTGATTTCTATCTTCTGAGGCTTAATTTCTTTGGGGTATAACATATGACCTAGATATTGAAAAGGTGGGTGCCTCTGTACTTTCTCAGGAGCAATAATTAACCCTACATGGCTTAGACTCTGTTGTAACAATCCATATGTCTCTAGTAAAGTATCCTCATTTCTATGAGCCAGCAGAATGTCATCCATGTAATGAATAACATAGACCTGTGGAAATTGATTTCTAACTTCTTGTATAGCTTGAGCTACAAATTTCTGGCATAAAGTAGCACTATTCAACATGCCCTGGGGCAAAACATTCCACTGATATCTCCTCATTGGCTCTCTGAAATTAACTGAAGGAATACTAAAAGCAAATCTTTGACAATCTTGTGGCGCTAAAGGAATTGTATAAAAACAATCTTTCAAATCTAAGATAATCTTATGCATGCCTTTTGGTATGGCTACTGGAGACGGCAGCCCTGGTTGTAATGCTCCCATTGGCTGCATGGTTGCATTGACCTCTCTTAAATCCTGAATTAACCTCCACTTTCCTGATTTCTTTTTAATAACAAAAATTGGAGAGTTCCATGGAGAATTGGATGGTGAAATATGTCCACTATCCAGCTGTTCCTGCACTAACTGCTGGGCATCTTGTGGTTTTTCTTGTGTTAGAGGCCACTGACTCACCCATACAGGTTCATCACTTTCCCATATTATCGGGTCTGCATGGAGTGCAGGTCTATCAGCGACCTCTCCTAAAAATACCCTAATCCTGCTCTAGAAGGTCTACTACTGTCTGATATAACAGGATCCACCTTTCCCTTATTATCCTTGCCTAGACCTTGATTAGATAATAACCCTTGTTGATTATTAAACATCTGATTAGTAACAGTTGTGCTGGGAGAATATAAATATACTCCCATTCTGGACATAATATCTCTGCCCCATAAATTCACAGGTAAATGAGGAATAATATACGGCTTAAAAGTTCCTTCATGGCCTTCCTCATCTTTCTAGTGCAGTTCACTGCTACTCTGTTCAGGATTTCTAGTCTGACCAATTCCTTGTAACCGTGTAATAGTCTCCGTTTTTGGCCACTTAGAAGGCCACTGACTGGTAATTATGACGGAAATATCTGCGCCAGTATCCAGGAGGCCAGAAAATCTTTTTCCATTTATAAACAAAGTGAGTTCTGGTCTCTGAGGACCTATGGTCTGTACCCAAAATGCATTAGACGAACCAAATCCGTCTTCTCCTCTCTTTTCCTTTTAGGGTCTGACCCGCCTTTACTACAGAAACTCCCTTAGGTGAATGAACCATCATCTTGATCTCTCCCTCAAAGTCAGCATCTATGACTCCAGGAGCCACTAAGATCCCTTGCATTGCACACGCCTTTAATCCCAGCACTCGGGAGGCAGAGTCAGGCGGATCTCTGTGAGTTCAGGGCCAGTCTGGTCTTCAAGAGCTAGTTCCAGGGCAGGCTCCAAAGCTACAGAGAAACCCTGTTTCAAAAAACCCAAACCAAAACCAACCAAACAAAGATACAGTTCAAAATAGTATACCTATATCTCTATATTATAAGAATAATCTCTCTTAAAAGATTCATGATCCCTTCAAGTTTCTCATACTCCAAAAATCAGTTTATTCACAAGGCAGAAGAATGGGATTTGCCAAGACTTTTGAAAAGGAAATATGATTAATGAAACCTATACTGTATATATTTCATTCCTGGCTGCCAAAGCAATTACATCCCCTTTTATGGTAATAGCATTATAGCATCATAATCAAAAGCAGTACTATAAGTGCCCACCATCAAGACGTAGTTCAACCTCAGGACCCACACATGAGAGGAGAGAACCAACTCCCACAGGTTCTCACATCTTTTGTGGTACATGCACACTGCATGTACACACACCCACACATTTGTACAGGCACACACTCATGTACATACTTGCACATACACTCATACCCACACATGTAATACATGGTTAAAAATGATTACAAACCCACAACAAAAGGGGATTAGAAGTGAGTACAAAATGGTCTGTCTAATTTCACCACACCAGATGTCTTGAAAAAGTATAATATGTGTGACGGGAACGGTTCAAAGGATAATGGCATTTGCCAACAAGTCTAACAAACTTAGTTCAACCTGTGAGCCTCACATTGTAGAAGAAGAGGACTCTAGCAAGTTATCCTGTAACTACCACACATGTACCGTGGCAAGTGTACCGGGATGCATGTGAACGTATGCATGCCTACACACACAAAATAAATGCAATAAAAAGTTTAAATGATATCACAAAGAGGAAGGAAAGTACTGCTAAAAAAAAAAAATAAAAGGAGTAATGTGAACCTAGGCAGAGGGGTGGGGTTGGAGCAAACTGAAAGCCCACACATGCACTTGTGGATACTGCTCAAGTTAGTTCCTTAACTACCTGCATATACATATACTGTGTCAGACACTGCTGTCTGAAAGCAAAACTCAGATTTCAGGAACCCAAAACTAGGGAGGAATGATGTTAATTATCCAGATTTTTTAAAACATGAATTCAATGACCTAGGACTGCTATAACTTCCACTGCTTTTCCTAAGGAATCAGGACTTTGACAAGAAGAGGAGGTGGAAAAAGAAACAAAACTAAGAGTTAACATGAACATTATAACATAATAAGACGTGCGTGTGTGTGTGTGTGTGTGTGTGTGTGTGTGTGTGTGTGTATTTTGGTTTTTCGAGACAGGGTTTCTCTGTGGCTTTGGAGCCTGTCCTGGAACTCGCTCTATAGACCAGGCTGGTCTCGAACTCACAGAGACCCGCCTGCCTCTGCCCCCTGAGTGATGGGATTAAAGGCGTGCGCTTTAAATGAGGGAGCTCAAGAGATGGCTGAATAGTTAAAAATACTTTTGCTCTTGCAGAAGATCCAAGTTTGACTACCAGCTTCCACACAGCAGCTCACAACCATTTGTTAGTCCAGTTCCTAGGGATCTGACATACCCTTCTGGCTTCAAGAACCAGGCACATATGTGAGGCATAAATATACATACAGACAAAAAATAAAGTAAGCAGTTGCTGTACAAGCCTGATGACCTGATTCCAATCCTTGAAATCCATGGCACAAGGAGAAAACCGAAACCTAACCTCTGTCCTCCACAGGTATAGAGTGGCACACATGCCCACACATACAAACACAAGAGGTAAGACTTAAAATAATTTTTAAAAGATATGTATCATTAGCTAAATTTACAATAAAATTCTGCTTCGCATCAAGGTAGTTATAATATAAAAGATAAATAATAGTGCCTGGGAGAGCTATGCATGTAAAGGACCTTTAATATTTGTTTACCACGTGTGAGTCCCTGAGTTCAACCTAAAGCACCACTAACAACTGGAAGGAGACAGAAAATAAAATTCGGTGCAGTTGGAAGAGTGAGAAAGGAGGATTCCATGTTCAAAGCCAGCCTAAGCTACACAGTGAGTTCCCGGACAGCTTTGGAATGCATAGCAAAACCTTCTCATTCGTGTGTGTGTGTGTGTGTGTGTGTGTGTGTGTGTGTGTGTATGAGAGACAGACACAGACAAAAACTCTCATAGAGAGCAGGTTAAAAATATAAAATGACGCAACTACTTTTTTTTATTAATTTAACTGCAACAAAATATAAAATCACAGTAAATAATATCTTCTTAAAAACAACTTAATAGTTACACCAAAGATTAAACACATAGGCCGGGGTATTTACAGATCAGTGATAGAGTGAATGCTTAGTATGTATAAAGTCTAAATTCAACCCCTAGCACAAGAGGGAAAAGAAGCTCAAAATAGAATTAACGCATGGCCCAGAAATTTTACTTTGTTAAGTATAAACCCAAGAGAAGTGCAAACACATGCCCACCTGAGTGTTTTCAGCAGCATTATCCATTACAGAGAACAGGCACACATATCCCTCATGCTCACCAACAGATAATAAAACAATGTGGTATACTGATACAACCAAGTCTTACTTGGCAATAAAAAGAAACAAGGGCTAGTGAGTAGTGGAAAATATGGCAGAAGGAAAGAACCAAGTCCACAGATTGTCTTCCCGTTTCCACACACTCATTCCCCACTGCACACACACAATAGTAAATTTTTAAAGGTATTTTATATATGTTACCACATAAATGAATCCTAAAAACACTGTGCTAAGTGAAAACATCAGACTGGATTATATTTTATGTTTCTATTCACATGACATGTCTAGAATATGCAAATGTACAAAGGCAAATATAAATTAGTGGTTGCTTAAGATTGAATAGTAGATGATGGCAATTACACAGTTTGGTGAACAGAACACCACTAATTATAAACTTTAGCTAGATAAAGTGTACTGTATATGAATCATGTCTCAATAAAACACAATACTTTTTATTTAGATAGCCTTCACCTCCAGAGGGCTGGATTACAGTGTTCCTCCCTCTCCCTTTCTCCCTCTCAAAATACATGTGAACAAACTATTCACACACATAAAAGTTTAAAATAAAACTTAAAACTCTATCACTACAGGAGTCACACATGCTGTAGTGAGCATGTAAAGGTCAGAGGTCAAGCTCAGGTCTACAGGCTTATGTGGCAGTGCCTTTACAGACAAGCCATCTCACCCTACAGTATCTTCTGTCAATGGAACTTTGTAAGAGAAAAATTAAACTCACCTCTTTGAATTTCCACTTCTGTCCCTTTGGTTACACAAAAACTGGTGACTTCCTGATGATCCTCAAGCCCATAGACCCCTAAGATCTTCTCAGGACTTGGTTCGGCTGTGATAAAATGACTCTCCATTCCCACATGTTTGGTCACTGCAGGAGCTGTGCTCCTACAAGAAAGGGAGTGAGAAGTTATCAGCTGTGTAAGAATCCCTTTGCGGTGTCATGTCTAGTGCCGAGACAGCTAATACACCACCACCCAGGTGCACATTATATGTAACTGTTTGCTTGTCTGTTGGGACAGAATATCAACACACAAGGAGCTCCCCTAAAACTCAAGCTATCTCCTGCTCCAGCCTCCAGAAAGCTAAATGCAGGAATGCGCCAACACACCTGGCAGACGTCTGCTTCTGAGTGCTAAAACTATGAAGTGCTTAAGTTACTACGACACTTGAGAAAATAGAAACCATGTTTGTAAAACAAACTACATTTATATAAACCTATTTCACTTAAGTTTCAAAGACACAGAAAATATATTGCTGTGATTTTATATGTAAAACCAATAAACCAGTATCAGTATCAGTTAATCTTTAATGTGTGAAAAATTGGCATCGTCTACTTTAAATTTATATACAAGCATTATTAGAAGCTAATAACTAACTTGATGATGCTGTTTAACTGTATTTGTTAAACTGAATATTAAAATAACCTGGTTGACAGAGTATTCTCCATTATTTCTCCCATGACATCAGCTTCTTCTTCTTTAGTACTTTGTTCCTTCGATACAATCTTGTTTTCCTCAAACGATGCAGGCAACATACTAATGACAGGTGAAGAAACCTCCTGATATTCATGAACAATTTTGTGATTTACATTATCTGGGCTAAAAGGAACATGACTTTTATCCTTTGAATGAACATCAGGAAATACACATACTCCTACTGCAGAAAAAAATAGGAAATTAAAATTGACCCAATATTAATAGCTACCTGAATAAAATGAATTCCTCAACATTCAATTAACTATCTAACTTTAGTATTAAAGTTTATTCTATTATTATCTAAATTTAAATTCATTATCTTGCATTTCATTTAAAAACTTGAGTTGTAATAAGCATATTATTCTTAGCACTAAAATTCTGGAGTGCTCTAGTAAACTTTCAATAACTATAAACTGTTCTACATAGATTTCAAGACAGGACATCATCATTTAATAATTTTTGAAAACTGTACTGTATGTACTAGAAATTTGTGACAGGTTCCAGTATAATATTCTGCCACTGAGAAAGAAGCCCTATCTGTAACACAAATTAGAGAATCCCCTGAATCAGCTATGAACTTACAAGTCTAACAACTAATATGAATGGCAGATCATCCATTACCAGTCAATAAAAATAGCTGTAGTTAAAGATAATGAATCAAGACAGCTTCTGGGGCAGGAGATTTAGCTTAGTTACAGAATACTTGCCAACAAGTCCAAGGCCCTGGGTTCCATACCCCATTACCCCAAAATAAAAATTAAAACAACTGTATAGTTTCTAAATTTGCTTAATGTATTAAAGATCTAGATTGGCCTTTCCTTTGGCCCCTTTCACTACCAGAACAGTTAAACTAGAATAAATCATCTCAGTAACTACTATTTATCCCTTCACAGATTTATCAGAGTTATGAACATCATCTCAAGCTGGAACCCCTTTACTAAATAAATGTCTACACAGTGATCAGTGGCCAGTGACCTCCATTAGCCAATGATGTTTATGATAGTTACAAGCTACAGGTACACAGGTTGAGGATTTACTAGATAACTACTAGTCCATGAATACAAATCCCACACCCTCCCCCTCCCCGCAACAAGCTTTGGTTGCCCTAGAAATCACTATGTAGACCAGGTTCGCTGCAAATTAACAGAGATCTGCCTACCTCTGTCTGCAGCCCTATGGCTGGGGATTAAAAGCCACCAAGCCCAGGCTAATTATTCTTGTTATTCTTGTTATTATTATTCTATTATTTTTAGTTATGAGCCTAGCCTTTTTAACAGATTAGCCAATCTCTCCAGCCTCAAATTATTCTTTTATTTTAAATAATTTATTTATTTTTACTTTAGGTACATTGGTGTTTTTCCTACATGTATGTCTGTGTGAGGGTGTCAGATCCCCTGGAACTGGAATCACAGACAATTATGAGCAGCCGTGTGGATGCTGGGAATTGAACCAGAGTCCTCTGGAAGAATAGCCAGTATTCTTAACTGCCTGAGCCACCTCTCCAACCCCAGGCCCCAAATTATTCTTAATAAGCCAATTGCATCATCTCAAAAGCGTTGGCACTAAATCTAGAGAGACTGTCTTCCATTCTTACCATCACCCTGCTCAGTGATGATCTCCGACTGCAATACTATGTCTCCCATTGTAAGCAAAGTTATGGCAGCTTCGGTGCTTCCATCACTGGGACCTTGAATAAATATACCAATGTTAAAGCAGGTCTGCTTACTTAGAAAGACCTCACTCAGACACTCATCATCAATAATCAGTTTCAACAGCCCTCCTCCCACCACCCAGTACTAGTGTCACACTGTCCAGGGCAGACACACCATCAGTGTTGACTCTTAGCTCTTGAAAACACGTCCCTCACATTAGACTAACTCTGGGCAGCTCCACAGGAAACATAAAGTAACTTCATTACTTAACATTAACTAGGTCTAGAGAACCCCAGCTTCCTATCAAGGTGACAGGTTAAGGCCACTGTTCTACACTCTAACAAGCTGTCCTGTTTACCTGCTGCCACTGCTAATCACCAAGCTACAGTTAACCGAGTAGTTTTAATCAATTCTTTGTTAACAGTTACCTGGTTCTTCTGGGGTCTGTTCACTTATGACCATTTCCTAAAAAAATGGAAAAGATAAGAACATCCTAAGTGTTTCCCCCAAACAAATGATATGGTTTTGTTGTTGTTTTTAAGCATCACATGGTACACATCTTTCTAGGCTTTTAGTTATAATAATTACTTTTCTTAATTTATGTCTGATCATAAAGCTTCACAAATAAGAACAGATCAGCATAAAGGCGGAATTCTTTTATATCTCACATGATTCTGTGTCTCCTCATCATTACTATATATATCTAACCATTCTCAGAGCCTCACAATCATAACCCTTTCAACTCTTACTCAGATCTGCTATCAGTTTACCCAATAAAAACTAGTCTGGCCAGGTTCCCACCTTTAATCCCAGCACTCAGGAGGCAAGAGGTAGGCGGATTTCTGTGAGTTGAGGCCAGCCTGGTCTAAAAAAAGAGTTAGTTCCAGGACAGGCTCCAAAGCTAGAGAGAAACCCTATCTCAGGGGAAAAAGAAAAAGAAAGAAAGAAAACAAACAAACAAAAAACCTAAAATCTGGGAGATTACACCAACTTCCTACACTGAGTGACTTAAATACAGCACATTTTAATGATGCACAGGAGGCAGCTGACCAGAGAGGTGGCATGAGCTCCACTGACCTGCTGCCCAGTAAGATGCCAAACATGACTTAAAAAGCAAACATTTATAACCTCTAGAATTGGTTCTAAGTGCAAAAACAAATGAGAAACAGCTATTCAGCAAAATCTATAAAACTTGGTAGCTAAAACAAGCATTTGTGAACCACAATTGCTCATTGGCCCTTTTGTCAGTGGCTAAGTGGCTAAGACTTTCTCTAAGCTGTGTCAGCTCTCTCCCCACCATAGGTCCTGGAGGAGCAAGACTCCAGCACCTAATGCCACCATCAGCAGCAGCAGCAAAAACTCATAATATCTGTTATGAATATGGACATAAATACACTTGAAATACTAGGAAACGAGGGGCTGGAGAAATGGCTCAGAGGTTAAGAGCATTGCCTGCTCTTCCAAAGGTCCCGAGTTCAATTCCCAGCAACCACATTGTGGCTCACAACCATCTGTAATGGGGTCTGGTGCCCTCTTCTGGCCTGCAGGCATACACACAAACAGAATATTGTATACACAATAAATAAATAAATAAATAAAAAAAAAAAAAAAGAAATACTAGGAAACAATGTAGAAGTATAAAAAGTCATGTGTGATAATCAAGAAGGAACTATCTCAGGGAAACAAGTTTTCTTCAACACCAAAGAACTACTGCTAATGCAACTTGTCAATACAGTAACAAAAATATTTATATGTCTGTATCATGAATAAAAATTAAAACCATAGCCGGGCGGTGGTGGCGCACGCCTTTAACCCCTGCACTCGGGAGGCAGAGGCAGGCGGATCTCTGAGAGCTAGTTCCGGGACAGGCTCCAAAGCTACAGAGAAACCCTGTCTTGAAAAAAAAAAAAAAATTAAAACCGTAAAAACTACACACGACAAAGTCTAAAATCCTTTCACAAAAAACCAGCACAGACAGAAGGGGATTTCTTCCTCCTGATAAAGACCATCCTAGAAATCCCACAGCCACCATTCTACTTAGGGACATAAGATCAGCTGCTTTTTCCTAAGACTGTGACCAAATCAAGGATGTTCACTTGTACTGTGCCTAGAAGCTGATTTACAATAAAGGCTCTAACCAAGGCAATCATACAAGAAAAAGAAATAAAACATTCAAATTGGAAAGTATTATAAATTACATATAAATTGAATTTCAAAATTTCCAAAACTGTAAGTGTATCTTCCCTAGAAAAAGTCTTTATAAAAAGTACTTGGTTTCAAACAAACCACAGGATTAGCCCTCATTCAATGCATCAATAAAAGACACAAATATAAACAATGGGTAGAATGTCAGAAGGCAATGGAAGCCAAGGTTAGAATGCCAAGAAATGATAAAGCACTAGCAACTTCCAGAAAAGCAGGAAGAAAGGAAACAGAAGGTTTCTTCCTCAGATCCACTAGAGAAACCTACTTGAAGTGGCTGCACACATGTGGTGCACATATATATGTAGGCAAAACACATACACAAAATAAAAACAAACATAATCTTTGTTGGTTTTTAAAAACCATCTCTACTATACATTTATAATAGTGTAGCTAGTTGCAGTAAAGTTTATTTAACGAAGACTTCTGCCAAGAATTTTGAGGGTAAATTCTATAATATCCAGAGCTTTAGAAAACAAACACAAAAATAAGTTTTACAATCAAAAGTAAAATCCATGAAAATTCATATGTTCCAACTACTCATAAACCAGTTCCCCACATAAGAAGGAAAAAATAAAGACCATTATGAAAATAATCCTGTACTTTTGAGGGAGGTAAACAGGGAAAGGCAAACATGAACAAGGTACTCACAAATTCTGGGGAATGCAAATCTTCTGGTTGCACGTCCTCAGTTGTTGCATCCGTGTTTGAAAGCTGATGTTCAACAACCGTCACACATCCTATGTCTGCAACATCCATGGTTATCTCAAGCTGTCATAACAAGTGTTATTATTTCAATTAGACAGTACACTCATTAGAACATCTCATTTTTTACACTAATAATCCAAAATAAACATTAAAATGGAGGAACACGCCACAATTACACAGCTAAAAAACTAAGACAGTAATTCTTAGGGACTAACAACTTACCAAAAGTAAAACACTACTTTACCGAGGGGTCTGAGTCTACTACAACGACTACTCAAAATCTCTACAGCTAATCTGCTGAGCTGCTGGCATTTCACTCCCCATTCCTTCCCTTTGTCTCAATTTAGTCCATTTGCTAACCTTTACATAATAGTTTTAAAAATACACGCTTATGAGCATAAACATACAAATCCTAATTATACACTAGGTCCTTGCCCTCAACAGACTCATACTTTAATAAAAACACCTTAACTATACACAAAACTGTACAGTACCATAAATATTACAGTAGTGATGACTTAATATCACTCCTGGTGAAACAATCCTCTCTCTCCACCCCCATAGTTACACGAATCCTGACACTCTGTGTAACAGGTTCACTCACACTCTTCACTTAACAGCTGGTTAAAGGAGCATAATTTTTTTAAAGATTTATTTTATTTATACATGTAGGAGTCACTACAGATGATCACATCTGTGAGCCTGAAGACGCCAGTGGACGGTGTTGGATCCCTCTGAGCTAGAGTTACAGATGTTTGCTGGACATGGAAGATAGGATTTGTACTATGGTCCTCATGATTGGGCAACAAGAACCCTTAACTGATGAGTCATCTTTCCAGCCTAAAGCAAATACAAATAGCCAGTTCCCTGTTCAACTATGAAAATTTTATCATGACAGGCTCATTATAATCCAGAGTCCATGTCTACAAGGCCCTAACTTTGATTGCCAGAACAGGGGAAGGACAGTGCCACTGAAGAAGATACTCTGTATTATTCAAAGACATATCCTAAAGCCTGATTATTGAAAGTTAATTTCACTAGCAAAGTGCTGGTAGTAGTGGTGGCAGGGAGATAGAGATCAAACTCTGTGCAGTGATAACCAGTTGTCCTTCCACAAGACTAATGTCTCTTTGCTATTTTCTTGGCATATACTAAAACTTACATTCAGTATACTTACTTTGAACTTTCAGTATTATTCAGTTAATTTCAAGAATTCTACTAACTCATTTACTTTTAGACATTTAAAATGCTATTATTAATCCTAAGTAAATTACAGGTAAGTTTTCCTTTCTACTAACAAATGTATCTTTACAAATTCAAGAATTGTATCATTTCTTAACAGAAGTAGCATAATTTTTTAATTATATTTCTATCACCACTATCTTAGCAAACTCCTGATTCTGTTTCGAATGACTCAGAAAGTATTTTAAGTCCTGATTCAGATATTACGCTCAATAAACCAGCTAAGTAACGATGAAATGAACAAGAACAGAAAACTTTAAAGCTACAGAGTTGGAATGTGAGGCCAGAAACAAGGAAGCAGACTGTACTCTAATTCACACCTGCTCACATTAGAATGGCTATTGTTCTTTTCCTTTCTTTTTTTTCTTGGAGATAAGAGTTTCTCTGTGTAACCCTGGCTGTCCTGGAACTCGCTCTGTAGACTCAGAGATCCACCTGCTCTGGGATTAAAGGTGTGTATCACTATTGAAAAAGAGTGGGGCACACTGCAGCTGGAGAATAAGCACTTACTTATAGCAAGGAGTCAGGGAGTGGAAAAGAGAAAGGAAGGCAGGAGGGAGTGAAAAGGGGTAAAGAGAGGGGAAATGGACAGTGGTAACGATAGGGAGAAATTCACCTTAGAACAGTACTGGTGACAAAAGAAAATGATGTAACCACTGTGGAAAACTTTTTTTCTTTTTCTTTTTTCTTTCTTTTTTTTTTTTTTTTTTTTTTTGCTTAAAATCCTCAAATACAGAATTACCATATATCCAAAATATCCATTTCTGATTTTATCTTCAAAAGAACTAAGAATAGAGAAGCAGGGACTGGGGGTGTGGCTCCCAGTTGGTGGAGATCATGCCAAGTACGTAAAAGCACTGGGTTCCATCACCAGCACCACATACCAGCACTTGCGAGGTAGAGGGAGGAAGGTCACCCTAGGCTACATATATATTCAGTTTCGAAAGATGAGGAGTTCTTTTGGATGAAGAGTTATGATAAAAGTGAGGAAGGAAGGGAGGGACGGAGGGAGAGAGGGGGGATGAGGAGGGAGGAACCAACTGAGGATATGGTTCTGTTGTAAAGTGCTTGTCTCATATACATGAAGCTGTAAGTTCTATCTTCAACATTTCTTAAACCAGGTGTAGCAGCAAATGGCTACACATGGGAAGATGGACACAGAAAATCAAAAATTCAAGGTCATCTTTTGACTATGTAGCAAGTTTGAAGGCCAATATGCAATGTGAGATACATAAGACCCTGTCTCAAAACAAAAACAAAAACAAGAAACAAAAAAGGGGTGGGAAAAGCAGAGATTAATTCTGTCTTCTCTACCAACCACAACACAGAAAGCTTATTACAGAGTTAATAGAAAAAACACCTACTAAATCTTGTTTAAATTAGTCAAAATGTAGATTAAGCAGCTTACAGATAAGCAAGTTTCTATCATAGTTAACCCCTGTAGAGGAAAGACTATGACAACTGAGTGATGGCCATACAGGCCACTTCTGCTGATTTGCTTAAGCTAGTCACACTAAGTCCCAAATAAAGTACTTTTGACAGCAGACATTTAGAGAAAGGACTTTTCAGAGCGCAATTACTAAGAAAAGAAATAATCACTCATTAAAGGGGATGAAAGTGGGGAAAACTGAAAAAACGAAACACAAACTACCTCTTCCATTGTTTCTTCGATCTGAGCAGACACTGGTTCAGGGGATCTGAGACCAACAGGTACAAATACTGGTGCTTTGTTTAATTCTTCTGGGGCAAGATGATAGGTTTCCTCCTCAAAGTCAGAATCAAAATCCTCAGCATCCTCTTCATCCTCTTTCTGAGAAGCCCGAAGAGTCACCAACATGGACTTGGAAGCTCTAGGTTCCTTCTTAGTAGTCTTACCTCGGATTCGTTTGGGTCCTCGCCCTTTGGTCACATTTGATTTCATCTTTCTATGTGCTCTTTTCCCACTGTGATCTGTCTCACACTCAGAGGCAGAAGAGAGAGGTGTTCTTCGATGCGCAGCAGTTTTGGAGCAATTTGATTCTTTCAATAGTTGTGGACTGCTGGATGTTGAACCAAAATAACATAGTCATGTATGTGCCAGGATTATCTCAATGAAAGCCAAACTGTTAACAGTAAAATCTCAGTTCCAACCTTTAAAATAAAGATCTTGGCCTAAGACGACAACTCAGTGGCAGGGTGCTTGCCCAACATGTGAAGCCCTAAGTTCAACTCCCAGCACTGGTGATGATGATGATGATGATGATGATAGATACATCTCCTTTTATGATGCTAGAATTGAACCTAAGCCTCAAAAGTCCTACACAATTGTGCTCATGAGCTATTCTTAACCCCACCTATTCTTTGAAAAACATGTATCATGAAAATAAAAAAGGAATTAACTACTACTTAGTATCTTATTCGGAGTGAATTCTTAGTTGTATGTCTATAAAGGCTGCATAGTAAGTTTTTAATACTGGCCCTATAGCCATGATATGGTTATTAAGATAGACACAAAATTGGAAATAATTAAAAGACAAAATACATGGAACCAATCAATAATGAATATGAAATCAAACAGTGGGACTTGTTTATCTTACTGGTTAAACAGATTAGAAAAATAAGGTTCTTTTTCAAGAACTTAGGTTCCTTCCCACTTTGTGGAAAATTATGGAAGTGCCCTTCATTACTGTTCACAGCCAAACCCAATAGCATTCTAATTACTGATGTAATGCACAATATCATTTGGCAGGTAAAAGAATGTACGTTGTTACAAATAAAAATAAAACAGGCTTGTAAATAAGGAATACTACATTAAGGTGGAACTTCTTTAACAAATAAGTGCTTTTTATCTCCTATTCTGAGTCTTCAAAATAAAATATTACCTAATTTGTTTACTGAGACCCTGCTCTTCAAGCCCCAAAGATGATGTAGGATGGTCCTCCACAATCTCGTCCCTTGCACCTCCTGACGGTACAGCTGTCAGCTGAGCATCATTAGTGGGAGAAGCTGACGCTTCAGGAACGATACAATCTTTTCCTGCTGAAACCTCCAGAGGCGTTAGAATCTCTGTCTTTTCCTTAAAGAAAAGCAAAACATAATATTACCATGGAAACAATCTTTATTAATAAGTTTTAGCAGTCTGGCCTAGACCTCTAAACTTAAAAAGTCATAGGTGATCAATTTTCAAATCTGTACAAGCTGGCTTTTCAGAAAAGCAAAAACTTTCCCCATAGCTCTCCCTCATGACATTGACACGACAGACTGACTAACAACACTACTTTTCCTCTCTCACTTGTAGAGGAAGCTGGATGTCCAAGTCTCCTTTCTGCGGCTCGTGGTCTTCTGGTTTTGGGTCTGTGCTCTGGTCTGTTGCGCCTTTTTCTACAACTGGTTGCTCTTTTTTATGGTGTGCTCCTCCTAAATTTGGTTTAGCCTTTTGGAATCGTCTTCTTAACAACTGTGCTGGACTAGGGACATGAGGTTCATTTTCATGCCTAAAATAAAGCACAAGTTATGGTGAAGACCAGAACTCTTCATCAATGCAACATTAAACAATTCTGGATTCAAACAGATTCTAAGTTCAAAGGATTATATATAAACTGGAAATAAAACCAAGCATGTAAAAATGAAACATTGCATTTTACATGTGAAACAAAAAATACAAAAGCTTTATATTATCCATTTTCTGTATACCTGTGGAACAGTTTATAGTATTAATATCTCTCAACTTTCACTCACTAGCTCTAGAATTCATTGATGTCATATCACTTTAGTAATTTTCAGAGAAGAATAAGGCACTTCAAACACGTCACAGTAGCTGAACAGAGATTTTATAACAACATTTTAAACAAAAGCGTCAACTGAGCTACAACACTTCAGCACACACACAATGGTCTTGCGTGACAGCAAGTTTATCTTACCACATTCCTTAAAGCTCATGGAAAGGTCTTATTAACAGTAAATATCTTAAGGTTCTTAACATAATCCATTTCGGACAAAAAACAAGGTTCAAACATTCAAAGAAAGGCAAAGCTACTAAGATAGAGGGAATAGCTACCTAAGAACTTCTGGAAATATCTCAGTAATGGATATGACCTAAATTAGGATGCTGAAAATACTGATATAGGCATAGGGATGTAGCTTTGTGGCAGATAACTTGCTAGCACTGCAAGACACTGGTTTCAATCCTCAACGCACAGATACAAAGCAAACAATTATGTGTGTGTGTGTGTGTGTGTGTGTGTGTGTACATACACATATTAGTTCTTATCTATTAGAAACCAATCCTCAAAATACACAGAAAAAAGGAACCAATCCTACTAAGCATTCTGCTGGGAAAATAGCAAGTTCTAATATGATTATGATGCTGGTTTATACACTTCAGGATCTGGAGTGTCTGGAGAAAACAATTTAATTAAAAGCTATCACATGGGGCTGAGGGTATGGCTAGTAGTAGAGTCAATAGATTCAATCTCCAAGGAAAAATATCATCACAAGGGACTCTGAAAACATACTTAAGTATAGGGGATGGCAAGGTGGCTCAGTGGGTAAAGCTACTCGCCATTAAGCCTGACAAACCATGCTCGATCCCCAGAGCCTACATGGTGAAGGAAGAACCAACTCCTGAAAGCTGGTGTCTGATCAGAAACCCACAGGAGTATGTGTCCCCTACCACAAAACCATAAAGAAATTTAAAAGATAGTCAAGAAAAAATATTACTAAGTTCAAAGGAGGCACCAAAATTATGAGCATAAAAATAGGAGTAAGAATTTTTTTGTGTGTGTGTGTTTTGTTGAGGAAGGGTTTCTCTACATAGTCCTGAAAGCTTTAAAGTCAGAGAGCCTCCTGTCTCTGCCTTCCAAATCCTGAGTTGAAGGGCATGTGCCAGGGCCAAGAATGAGGTAATTTAAAATCTTATTTAAATGGGCCTGCTGGCACAAGCTTCATCCCAGCTACTAAGGCTGAAACAGAAGAATCACAAAATCATGGCCTATCTCTAGCCTATAAGCAAGTTTAAAGCCAGCCTGGGCAACTTAGCAAAATTCTGTCTCAGAAAAAAGTAAAAAGGGTTGTGAACCACAGCTCAATACTAGAACACTTGTCTGGCATGTAAAAAGCACTGGGTTCAACCAATAGCACCACGAAAGACATATTTAAAAAACATTCAGAATACTGTTACATAAAACCAATTGTGTAATAATGAGAAACTGTCTTTGACAGGGTTTATGCTTTTCTCATGAAAAGGAAACTCACCTTTTTTGTTCATCTACAGGAACCACGTGTCTGTGACTTTCATTCACTGTGTACTCTGAAACTCCAAGGGACATAGCTTCAACTTCACCTTCAATGTGAGCATTAGCCTGCAAAGACAAAACCGGTTAATGTGATGGACTGATATTTTTTATGTTTTTCAGGACAGGGTTTCTCTGTGTAACAGCCCTCACTGTCCTGGAACTCAAGTCTGTATATCAGGCTGGCCTCGAAATTAGATAGCTATCTGCCGGCCTCTGCCTCCCAAGTGCTGGGGATTAAAGATGTACACTCCCACCCCCCACTCACTAGCTTACCTAAAGCAATGAACTCCAAGTTTAGGGAAGGACCCTGTCTGAAAAACTAAAGCAAAACACCCCATATACCTACATACACATGTGCACATACCCAAATAAATATGTATATTTACCACACCTGTGCACACCAATCTAAGAGCCATCGGTTATAAAATAGAGAACGTAAATTAATTGGCACTGATCACTGCTCAGCTGCACACTGCATGCTCAGCTGCACACTGCATGTTCAGCTGCACACTGCATGTTCAGCATGCACAAACCTCTGGGTTTGATCCCCAGCACCAAAGTTTAACTATTTTTTTTTTTAAAGTATTTTTGTCAAAGTGGGGATCACCATGACTTTTAATCTAGGTTTTATCTTAATACCCAGAGAAAAGAACACAAAAGCAAAGACTACTTGCGATTAACATTTTGGGACATTACACTACTTAGATATTTTTTTCTAGTACCAAAAGACTCAAGATGTTGGTTGATAAAGAACCGGGAGATAGTGACCCACACCTTTAATTCCAGCACTCAGGAGATAAAGACAAGAGGATCTCTGTGAGTTTATGGCCAGCCTGTTCTACAAAGTGAGTTCCAGGACAGGCTCCAAAGCTACAGAGAAACCCTATCTTGAAAAAAGTTGATTATAAGGGCCAGCAAAATGGCTCAGAGAATCAAAGCACCAGCATGACAACCTGACTCCAGTCCTCAGAACTCACATGGGAAAAGAGGACAGACTCCCACAAGTTGCCCTCTGATCATGCACTTGTGCTGTGATGTGTGTACATACACATGTACATACATGCACATACCCCACACATACAACACAAATAAATTAAGTAAATGTTAAAAAAGAAACTAATAGAGCTAACACACTTCTATAATTACAGCATTTGAGAGGCAAAGGAAATTGAGTCAGAAATTCAAGGCCAACCTCAGCCACACACTGAATGCAAAAGAAAAACCAAGAAATTGGCTAAACACAATAGAATGGTGGTACATTCTGTAATTACAACACTCGGATGAGACCAGAAGATAAAGGCTAGTCTCAGCTAAATAATGAGACACAGAAAGGGTAAGTAAGAAAGGTTCTTAAAAAGGTTAAACTGTCATTCAAAACAGCATACTGTTTTGCAGCATAAATGATATATCTGTTTCTTGCTAAAGAAATTCGTTACTGTGGTACTATGGGAAAGTTACAAAACTCTTCACTAGCGAAGAGCTGCCTTCAACAAGAAGGTAAGGACAAGGCGGGCTGAGCTGTCATCTGTTGTCTTAGTATGTGCTAAGGATCCAGCCTCTCACCACTGTCAGGACTTTTTTCGTTTCATCTTTCTGCAGCTCTGATCCTTCATTCTTAGCTACACTTTCAGCTTCACCTCTTTCTGTTATCTGCCTCTGTCTGGCCTTTTGTACGTTTGGTCTTGGTCTTTGAAGTCGACCTCTCACTGGGAGACTATGGCCAACACTCTGCTTTGTTTCCTGTGTGACCATGTTCATCTTCTGAGTCCTAGAAAGAAAGGACAAGGAGGAAGGAGAGGTTGATTATAAAAAGTCGATAACTGTAAGAACATGAATTTCCTCCACTAAACTCTCATGAAAATATTTTTTTCAAATCACTCTAGGAAAGTATCTTCTCATTACAAAAATTTGTTATAAAAGTTCGGGGAGTCATAGGAAAAAGAAAAACGTTATTTCAGGTTTGGGGATGTATCCAAACGGAAGGAGGACATGATGTGCCTAAAATAATGTATAAAAGTCAGATGACAGAATGGTAGGTGCCAAGAACAGAAGAAAAGGGGGAAAGTGGGAAGTGGAGGTTGCTATTTAGTAAACACGAAGTTTCATTAGTAGTTTATGAAAAGGAAAGTGTTCTGAGGATGGATGGTGGTGTTGCCTACAAAACAATGAGATAATGTTTTATGTCACAAGTTTTGTACAACTAAAAATAGAAAATTTTATCTTATGTATATATTTTGCCAATTTTTTAAAAGACAAGGACTTATACCACATATACATATATATTTTTAGTATGTTACCTTACATAAATCTTAAGCAGTCAACAATAAATAAATCACTAAAAGATGTTCAATTCCATCTAATTTTCAATTTTAGGTGGATTTGCCCTATGAATTAGACCCATTATTCTCCAAAGCACTTTAAAAAAAAATAGAGAAATGTTTCAAAGATAAGCCTCTATTGTTTTAGATTTTTAAAGAAATATCACTGTTTACCCAACAGGAACAACTAAGCCATTTTCCTGCTTTTGTGTTGACTGAGAATCCTCTTTGGGTTCACATGAATCGGGTAGGGAAGAGTCCTTCCCAGTCTGCATGCTCGGCATTATCACAGCATCCACCTCCTCCTGACGCGGGTTATCATTTTCTCTTGATGTCATTAGAAAAGGCACCTCCTAAAAGTATAGAAAGAAGAAAAATTCACAAGTTATTAGTACAAGAATGAACTGACCCATTCCTGTAGACAAGGAACAGGTGTGCTTCCTAGCACGTCTACTTGCAGAAACTCATCTCCTGCAACTGTAAATAAGCACATAATGTGCATAAACAAGAACAGGCTTTCAGGGAGATCCTCAACACATAAAGGATGAATAAAACACTGGAAAGAAGATTAATTTTAATAGGATATTCAATTTTAATTTCATATTTTTTGGAAGACATTGTTGGCACTGAAATCAGGTCCTCATGCATGCAAGGCAAATACCCTACCAATGAACTAAACTTGAATTTATTTCTTCCTTCCGTCCGTCCGTCCGTCCGTCCGTCCTTTTTCTTTTTAAGAGTCTCATTGTATAGTTTTTGGCCGTCCTGGAACTATCCACCTCCCTCCCAGCACCTGACACCTGAATTTTCATACAATGAAGAGATAGGGTCTCTGCTGCCTATTTCTAAGCTAATCTTGACTGCAGCTCTCCAGTTTTAGCCTCTTAAATAGCTAGGACTATAACATACAGACTATAACACACCTAAGCTTAGCCTTACATATTCTAGTATAAAACCACATTTAAAATGTTTTTCTTTGGGCTGGAGAGATGGCTCAGCGGTTAAGAGCACTGCCTGCTCTTCCACAGGTTCTGAGTTCAATTCCCAACAACCACATGGTGGCTCACAACCATCTGCAATGAGATCTGGCGCCCTCTTCTGGCATATAGGCATACATGCAGACAGAACAATATACATAATAAATAAATCTTTAAAAAAATGTTTTTCTTTCAGTCTATTTATATGGTGGATTACATTGATAGATTTGCGTATGTTGAACCAGCCCTGCATCTCTGGAATGAAGCCTACTTGACCATAATGGATAATTTTTCTGATGTGTTCTTGAATTCGGTTTGCCAGTATTTTATTGAGAATTTTTGCGTCGATATTCATGAGTGAGATAGGCCTGTAATTCTCTTTCTTGGTTGGGTCTTTGTGTGGTTTTGGTGTCAGGGTAACTGTAGCTTCATAAAAGGAATTTGGCAATGACTTTTCTGTTTCTATATTGTGAAATACGTTAAGGAGTATAGGTATTAGCTCTTCTTGGAAGTTCTGGTAGAATTCTGCGTTGAACCCATCTGGTCCTGGGCTTTTTTTGGAAGGGAGATTTTTGATAACAGTTTCTAGTTCTT